CAGGGAAGGACAACAGTGGGATTGGTGGGAGAAGCAGCAGCGGGCTGGGGAGGAAGCAAAAGGAGCAGTTAAACAGGTGCAGGTGCTTGGTGTCTACGAGCCAGCCCTGCCTGGAGAGCTGGGTGTACACGTAACTCAGTGGGGATGTCAGGGGGCTTTGGCAACAGCAGGGGAGGTTCTACAACCAACAGGGCTTTGGCCCCAGGTACAGAAAGGGGCTGAAGACAGACACAGTCTAATGGAGAAACAGCTCTGTGCCACCTATCAAGCCTCACAGGCAACCGAAGCTCTGTCACCAGAAGCTCTGCTGTGGTGGTGTGGACCACCTGTCCCATGGAGGGGTGGCTGCATGACCTGCCTCACACTCCAAAGGCTGGTGTAGCACAGACACCAACAACAGTGAAACGGAGTGTTTACCTGCAACAGAGACAGGTCTGTGCACCATCCTCTCTTAGCCAGGAGCTGCAGGTGTTGTTGGGGCCAATCCCCTTGGGGTCAGGAGGAGATGCTGAAAAGAACACTCAAGGACAAGCCTGATGGCCCTTCCCCGGTGAAAGCTGGCACGGTTCCAGTGCCCCCCGAGCATGGTGCACTGCCGGCTCCTGCAAAGGGCAGCCCCCAAAAGGGCATGCTCAGGCCTGGACTATCCACAACAGGCCCCATGGGGAAAAACGATGTGGGCTGATATGCGGGTGGTTGTACAGTGTAAGGAGGTGGCCCTATATCATGTCACAGGACAGCAACTGTTACTAAGTCCAGGGAAGGAGGAAGCGGATGCACCATTCGCATTCGACGGCTAGAAGAGGCTTCCGCAGAAGACTGGTCACAGGGCTACACCGGAAGACAAAACATACAGGGCAGGAAACTCTATGGGCAACAGCCAAAGACTGGGCCTCCCCCTGAAAATGACTGACATTATTGCAGCTTATCCACTGTGTTCTGTACGTGCCAGCCAGCACCCATGTCCCTTCGTGGCCACAACAGGCTGTTATGTGCAAGACTTGGCCCACAGCCATGACACTGGAAGGCAACTGCACCTACCTTGTAATCCTACAGAAGCCAGACAGTTAGAACGTTAGAGTGCACTGTTGACAAACGTCCTGCCAACCACCAGACCCACCTGCAGCATTCTAGACAGGGCAGAAGTGGGCATCCCCAGTGAGAGCCCAAGTTCAAACAGTGGCCACTAAGATAGGACCTCTTTGGGAAGGTCTTACCTATTGTTGCCAGCACCCCAGGACACACACCCTTTTTGGGAACCTCCCTGCCTGGTTTCAGAAGCTGTAACCCCCCATGACTAAGGCTGAGTAAAGAGACCTTGGGACCCTAAGCCACTAAGCAGACAAAGCTTATCTCCCTGGCAGGGGCACCACCTCTGCCCCCTTTACTTCACTCTGCTTGGCCCCGAGCAGATGACCGGTTAGCCAATGACAGGTAAGATTCCTCAAAGGAGGGATGACCTAGGACAGGCACAGTCATGAAGGAGCCCTCAGGGAAGGATTTGGGGGGGCTATAGAAAAAGGGGGTGATGGACCCTTGCCCTTCGGCTTTGACAGCTTGAGTCCTCATTCTATCTGTGAGAAGTTTCCTAATCTCTTGGCTGCCTTACTCCCCCTGCCTGACTTAACCCTGAAACAATGCCAGAGAGGTGGTGTGGCCCTGGGCAGGGCCGGGCGGGTTCCTTGGGGTGATCAGGCTTAAGAAAGAATGCATAAAACCCTGTGAAACCTGCTTTGCTAAGAATGTCCTCGATTTTCCGGTAAGCGTCAAAGCATAAAATGAGTTTGTTCCCCATAGTTTTATAGTCCTTTAGCTAACTAACCCTGACTCAGAATAAGCCCTCATGTTCTTTGAATGTTACCTATTATTTGATCATTACTGCCAGACAATGGATGATGAGCTTTACCTATACTCCCTGTATTCCTATGCAAATAAACCCAATAAAAGCCCATTGAGGAACAGGTTCCTGGCCCTTCTCCTTTGAGAGATTGGTCACCTTTCCTCCCCAAGCAGATCATGTCTTGGTAGATTTATTCTCATCCATGGTGGATGGGGGGAGGGGAGGGCTCTGCATGCAGAGTCCTCCCACACACCCTGAAGCTAGTGTAGTAACCTGGCCCTGGGAAACCCAAACTGGTACCCGCTGGTGTGCTCTCCTAGCCCCATGGTGGGGAGGGTCTTTCCCAGGCCTTCCTTACACAACCTGCCACAGCTGGTAAACGGCCATCTACTATTCAAGTAAGTAATCCTGGGGAACTTATCTGGGCAGGTACCTTCATTACCTCCATCGGGCACCTTCACATCCTACTCTCACAGCCAGCATTCCAGGCTGGGGGGCATCACCAGAGTAAAGGTGTGGCACGGGAGACCATGGAGATCCCTGAACAAGCCACTGTTCTTACACTGGGTCGAGCAGGGCCTGCATTCTACCCACCGTGCTGATTTGCCTCTATGGGACCTGCTACACATTTGTCTCCTGACTTCAGTGCAGGCGACCAGCTTTGCAAGGTGGGCTGATGGAGGAGCTCTCCAGCCAAATGTTCTGGACTGCTGGGTGTGTTCGGAGATGCCCCTCTCTGCTACTGCTGGGCTGCCTTGGAAAATGAACCCAGTCAACCTTATAGGACAATCTTAACATGGTTTGGAAAGTTGTCTTGGGACCACCGATCAGCATTGTATATGCTGACACTGTTACATATGAGTCTGTTACTCCTTTGCTATTACGTTGCTGCAGCAGAGTATGGGTACAATGTCTCACCCATCCTCCTCCCTCCCCAGGACATACCTGGAAGATGTAACAGCAGATGGTACTGAGCGGAGAAGGCGGGTACCCGCGTTGGGATGGAGAGTGGGGTGTGTGAGAACATGAGCCCCTCCCCAAGCTCCATCCCCCTTCTCACCGTGTGGGAATACCACGAAGGCCACCTGTAAGCAGACTCTGTGGCTGACCTTGGGAGCCTGGCCAGCTCCTGGGGCAAGTAAAGGCCAAAGAGAAACTGCTTCTAGATGTGAGCCCAGACTGTAAACAACTGCAGAGAAATAGTGTTTTGAGCTCCCACAGCGTGCGCACAAGAACATATTCCCCCCGCCCCTCGGCCCTGTTTCTGTACTCTACATAACCTTGTGCTGGGAAAGCCTGTGTTGTGAAAAAGTCACCAGGCAGCTGCCACCAGTGGGCACCCAAGTCCTCATAAACCCATGTTTTTCACAGTCAGTCCTCTGGGTTATTTCTTTGGAACTGGCAAGCAATACTCTGAGGTTTCCTGGAACCTCAGCCATTTGCATCATGGCAAGTTACGGAGAATGCTTTGAGGAATGTTTCAGAACTCTGCCTTAGTTTTTTTCCTCCCAGAAATTTGACCCCTCTGAATTCTTAAAGTAGTAGATACAGTAGGGTAGCTCCTACTACCAAAAGAGGTCAACTGACTTGGCCATCAACTTTTAGTTTTTATTAGTAACAAACATGATTAGACATATTTGTTACCGGAAACTGGTTAAAACAAAATGAAGCTTTTAACACGATGATATGCTGGATAACACCTGATGCTTACTGAGGAATACAACTAGGACCACTCTTGAGAGCTCAACCTAACTAGAAGTTTTGTTAAATAGACTTCCTTTCAGATTTGTAAAGATCATGTGAAATACAACTCTTTCTTTTTATCATTACAGAACCCTCATAAAATGCCACATGGACACACAGGTTTCAAAAGTTCTACTTTCATCTCTAAGTATCCCTAATGCTAGGGATTAAGAGCATAATGAGTTCAGAAGAAATTAACTTGGATAACACAAGTATGTACATCCTTGCAAGGTTTCATTCACAAAGATAACAGAACAGATTGATGTTCTATCAAAAGAGCAAGTGTGTTTCTGGGTAAGGTATAGGACGTGGAGGTGGCAACCCTTCGACATTATTCACCTCCTCCACAACATGGGCAGAGCCACCTTGGTCCTTTCAGACTCAGCCATGGCCTTGCCTCTGGAGACAAACAGGCCCTGACACTCGGACCCCAGTGCTCACCTGTGGCTGAGCCACTGCTACAAATAGGTAATGTTGCCAGAGACTAGCTCAGGTCTTGGAACATGCTCTGTACTCCCAAACACATTTTCAAATGAACAAATAAAGATCATCTCAGGCCCTGACTGGTGTGGCTCAGTTGGTTGGGCATCATTCTGCAAAGTGGAAAGTCGTCCTGGTCAGGGCACAGGCCTGGGTTGTGGGCCAGGTCCCCAGTTGGGGGTGTGTGGGAGGCAACTGATCAATGTTTCTCTCCTTCTTTTTCTTCCTCCCTTCCCCTCTAAAAATAAATAAAATCTCAAGCAAAACAAAAAAAAGTTCATGTCAGGTAACCCACGTTGGGTTTCTTTCCGAGGTGCCGTCCCAGTCGTTGGCCCTGATCCAACAGGCAGATGGTGTGGGGCCTCCTTGGGGGCACTCTCCAGGTGGGCCGCCTGAGAAGCCCCATCACCTGGAACCCACATCATGTACAAGACATACGCACACTCTGCTTGCAGGACACAAGAAAATAGCTAATAGGTAAGAAGGAAAGCCATTCAACCTGTGCTTTCTCCACAGGGCCTGGATCTATGGGCAAACCCTCACAGCTCGGCACCTCATCTACTCATTCACGGCTTGTCACTGGGGAGTTTCAAAACCAGTTCAGAGGCAAGTTCAACAGCTTCAGTTCGCTAGGAAAACGAGCGGTGGAAGGGAAAAAAGGATCATTACAACTAAAAACTCTTCCACATTCCCACTCATTCTCCTCAAAGCTACACCTCCGGTTGTGAAGTGAAAGAAATCTACATTCATAACCTTAGAGAATATCAGTTTGGGCATCATCTGGGGCAAAAAAAAAAAAGCAGCAGCAGCAAACGCTTCTCCAATGAAAGGCTGCGAGGGAAGGAGTGGAGATCAGGCGCTCTGGAGGCTGGACGTTAAGGAAAGTGTGCGCGCACACACACAGGCACGTAGACAACAAACAGGCAAAGACTGTGAGTACATGATTACTGAGTTTAATCCAACTGTTGTACCCAATTCTGCCTTGTGAAAATAACAAAATGTTCTTATCAAAATTACATCGTCATGTAAGTACAGTTTTGTTTTTTTTTTGATACAGCTCTAGAAAAAAGTTGGCACCAAATGCACATAAAGTTTTAAGGCTTAATAAAAATACAGACTGGTAATTTCTCAATGCAGCTTAGAGGTCGAGAACAGGATGCTAATAGTTAATCAGTCTTCCAGACACAGACAGCCCTAATGTCTAGAGCATTTTCCAAATACAGATGACCATCCCCATCGGGCTCACAGGAGCAGAAACTCCTCTTCTGCTTCTCCCGGTGACCAGACTATGGAGACACTGGAAACCCACTCCTACAGCCCCAGGGAGGAAAAGGGGGTAAAGATGAAGAGAAAAGGCAGGAGTAGTCACTGCTGCCCAGAGGCTCCTGCTATAGCTCCTGCTTTCCTCATCGCCCTGGGCCTCTCTTCCCATCTTCGGTTTCCCCATCTCCGCCCCAGAAATCCCCACCAGTGGACAGAGCTGGAGTTCCTCCTGTCATTTGGCTGACAGTGGGGGTGAAGCCACAAGGACCAGCAGTACGTCAGGGTCTTCCTAGCAACCCAATTTGGAACTCACAAACCATTTTCTTGTATGTGAAAAATAAATGTAGTTATAAATGGCAGCTCATTTCCACCATTAGCACATTTCATTTTAAGTTAAACAAATCAGTGTATTTGGCCTTAAAAGGCTAAGCACCACTTACAACATCTTAATGTGGAAAAAAAGCTCTGAGTTCCAAATGAATTTCTTAAAAAGGGACTATCTGAAGCACGGAGACAGGAAGTACTTGATAAAGTCACATGGAACGAGTATTTCTTTGCTGCAAAGTCAGCACGACAACTGAAAGGAGGGAAACTCTTTGGTTGACTAAGCCACATGCAGGTCCCCTCCGTGTGCCAGGTGTGAGAAGTGGGGTTTGGCAGGCGGCTCCTGCAGGCACTTAGTGTCTCAGCCACTGTGATTATAACTCAACGCAGATGTTTCCTTTTCAATTTTAAGAATGATGAAGACAGTTCTACCACCTGGCATTTGCTCTGTAGGCACCCATAACAAAAGCCACTACCACACAAACCCTTTCTCCTGTGAACTACTGGTCCAGCATGAGTGAATGGAGACTATACCCTTGGAGGCCGAATGTAAGAAACTTCTGCCTAAGTAAAGCAACTCAGCCGGCCAGCTGGGGCTTTGCTGTCGAACTAGTAAATCTCCTCCTAGCCTAAGGCTTCCAAGTCTCTTCTGGAAAAGGAATACAGTCCAGAAGTTCTGCAGAGCTTTATAAAGGGTGGCCTAGGCAAACTTTTCTTCTTTGGTATACCTGAGTAACTTTTTCCTAGAAAGGTGTCAAAATAGAACAGTCAATAGTCACTTATGTAAAGCTGCTGTTTAAGAATAGCTCTTTAGTTATATTGAAGAGTTCAAACCTAAGAATCCGAGGCTCTCAAGCATCTCTCCTACCCAATGTCAACAGGAATAAAGACACATAAAGGATTTAAATAACCCAATTACCCGGATGTATCTGGACAGTTTTAGTCTTGCAGAAGTCAGTGGGCCTTGCAGATAGAGGAACTGTCCACTTTGCTGGTAAAGGGCAAAGGCCAAGACTTAGCGATGAGAGGAAAAAAAAGAAACAATTCACAAGCAAAACCAGTCTGAGAATAGACCGAGACCAGCCCCTCATGAGCGAAAGGCAGATTCCTGTCAGATCACCACAGAGGATCGGGGTAAAAATCTCTCCATAAAGTGTAAGACTTACAATAACTTTTTGGTTTATGTCCAAAGTGTTTCTAGATTTCTGAGGCTTTAAACTCTGCTACTACGTTAAGCGATTTCTAGGTAGCACTGGCTGGCAGACTGCTGAAGCCGCAGGGACATGGGAGATCCCACTTCATCTGGGTCCCGTGGCCTCGCACCAGCTCCCCACCCGGCCCACCTGAGAGTTCCTCACATCCAAAATCAGACTGTTCACCAAGGAGTCACATTTCCCCCAGAGATACGTTTCTCGGCGTCTGGAAGGTGTGGTCCTCTGCGGCTCTCTCGGGGGCAACGGAACCTGAGCAGCGGCTTCAGATATGCAACAGACCCTCTCCCCACCCCCATTCCTTTGGACTAAAGGAAACTATTTGAAATCCTATCTTTCGAGTTTCTTATCTGGCTACAGGGGAAGCAATAGCTTCTCTAGTAGAAGGAGATGCTGGATTTGCCTCCAGGTGGATTCAGGACTTTGTTGTGAGATCGAGGCCGGGGGCCCAACCGGGGCTCATGGCTGTCAACCGTGGGCGGGGCCTGGGGCTCCTGAGCACCGTCTGCTTCTCTCCGGCGGCCTTTCTCACCCGGCTCTTCTCTGGGCAAGGTGCTCGTTGCGGCTGTGGGACAAAGTCAGCAAATGACCCCATTAGAGGCTCCCCCATACCAGGATGGTCAAGCTATGCACAGGAAGTCTGCGACACAGACCAGCTAGCAAGAAATGCAACTGTAATGGGAAAAGGGAGAAAAGCAAAGAGAAAGGCCTCCATCTGTACCAAAAAGACTCACTCATTATTAGCAAGGCTATTCTTGAACTGGGCATAAAGTTGGGGCTTAGTATAAGCAATCCTTGCTAAATTCCTAAATAAGTTCATTACTTATTTATATTGCTGGTTGGACTCCGTTTCCTTTTTTTTTTTTTTTTTACCTCAAGTATAAAAAGCAAAGTGAACATATAAAAAAAAGAGGGAGACAGTCTTAGCTGGAGGATCTAGCAAGGTGAGGCATGATTTTCTAACACCATTACTCTGGACTTTCTGAATGAACAAATTCCCATGTATCTTGGTCATGAGTTGGGGAAACGGGGACCGAAATGGGCAGAAATCAGTGCTCAAAGTCAGCTCACAGAATGTGGTGGGACTCGAGCCTGACATCTAGCCCCACCACGGGGACAGCACCCTCCCCGGGTGATGCGTTACGGAGATGCCGGCTCTCCCCACCACGTGCAGCCTCACATCCTCACTTCTCACCCTTCCTGTCCTCTCTGCTTAGGCCCTTTTCCACGTTAGTTCTGCTGGTTCTGTCCTCGGTCACAAGTATATTAAAGACTTTGGATCCCCTGCCCTTCCCTACACAAGCCAGCTTGTAGAATAGGATACCTTGACCTTAGGCCTAGGCTGATTAGCAATGACAAGAACTGAAGAAGAACCGGTGGTGACCAGTTAAAAAGCTTTCATCAGAAACAGCTGAGCCCATTTCCTTGGGCTTTTTCAAATACCTAATCCTCTAAGCAACAAACACAACCTTGCTGATTTTTCTCGGCAGGAGGTACGGGAATGTTACCTCTCATCCTCTGGGGTGCGCCAGCCCTTTTCCAGAGTGAGAGCATTCAGGGGAAGAGCCAGGAAACAGAAGCTCACCTTTAAGGTCCAATTTTGGGTCTTCCTCACACAAGAGTACATGGTCCTGCAACAAGACAGACCCCATGTCAATATGTGATTCAGAAACTTGTAACCCTCAGTCGGAAGAACGATGAAAATCAAGGCATGGATAGATGACCTGAGTCCATTTTTACCTCTAAAAATGTTTTTATTATGGTCAATTTAAACCATAAACAAAGTAGCACCGTGAACTCCCTCATTACCCACTGTACAGCTACAGTGACATTGGCTCACTGCTCTCCTGGCCTCAGCCACACAGCTCTCCCAATTTCAATCCCTCCACCCCCTGGAGGAGTTATTTTAAAGCAAATTCCAAAAATTTCATTGACTCATAAATGGTTCAAGATGTGGCTCTTAAAAATGTCCTTAAAACACACACACACACACACACACACACACACACACACACACACACTATTCTCACAGCTACAAAAATTAAGGCTTCCTTTAATATCTAACACCCAGTCCAATTTCAGAACACTGGGATATGTTTTCAAGGCTCATCCATGCAGTGGCAGGCACCCGAGATGTCATCCCTTCTCACGGCCGCGTGCCCCGCCATCTGTGCGGCACATCCCGTTAGCCATTCGTTGGCTGGGTGCCACCTGGGTTGTTTAATAGCATCGCTGTAAGTAATGCTATTAAAATAGGTGAATGAGTATCTTCAAAATTTAAAAACAGAAACTATCTAAGTTTCTATCTAAGAGTGGAATAGCTGAATCATACGGTAAATTCTATGTTTAACTTTTTCAGAGACTGTCAAATTGCTTTCCACAGTGGCTGCACTATTTTACATTCTCAACAGCAATGTATGAGGGGTTTCCATTTCTCCATATCCTAACCAAGAAGCAGCATTTGTTATTTCTCTTCAAGGCCCATTTAATTCAGTATCAAAAGTGTGATACGAAAGGTCCAAATAAATGAAGGAACACGTTCCCCCGTTTACACCAACGACAATGCTCTTTGAACACGCGCCTGTTGAATGGAATGGGGATTTAATAAATTTCACCACTAAAAAGATAACACCGTGAGTCTCATCACAGCTAATATCCTTACACAATTTAGTTGTGAAATGAATGTTCACAATGCTTCAGTTTGAACCTGAGGTTTGATACCATATCTTCACGTCTTTAAAGCCCTAGGTAAGATTATCTACAGCATTAGCAACCATTCAAAGAAAAACCATACTGACTGAAGGCTCATTCAAGTACAGCTCCAAACTCAATGGTTAAATATATGAACTACTTGTACTAATGTCTATTATTTAATTCTCTTATAACTATTGCTTCTTGGCAAATAAACCCTTTAAAGGCAAAATTCACATTATTTGAGTTTTGGACCAAGAAGTTCAACAATAATCACGAAGTCCGTAGTCTGTTGGCAAAACAGACACAGGGCCACTAAGTCACTGTGCTCAAGGTGAAGAGCGATGCGTACTCCATTTTTACATTTTACTGGAATTTTACATGTTCGATTCATGATTTTATATCTCTACTTTTCATTCCTCCAAACTGTCTGAAGACAGTGTGCCATAGACTTAAGAACTCTGTTTCTTCCTCTACTTCAAACAAACATTTCTCAAGTATCTACATGTTCTAGAAGGGAGATTTTTCAGAGGTGGCCACTTCTTTGTCATAGTCTGACACCATCAGGACTCTGAAGCAAGAGGAGGGGAAGGAAAAAAAGCTGAAATACAAGGTTCATCTGCTAAGTTTTACATTAACCATTAAAGCTGGAGAGTCTAAGAATGTGGCTTTTCTGGGCTCAGAAAGTCTGAGTCTTGGTGTGGAAACGAGGACCAGGCCGTCCCACCGCTGCTTTCTCTCAGTGGGACTGTCGGGGAGTCTTGACCGGGGAGTATGATTAGTTTACCTACTAGGCGTGAACTTCCAGGCACTCAGTTCATTTTCGGGCTTGTTCCAGTTCGCCGTTCATTTTTAGGAAAACCAAGTTGATCAAGGGGTCTACCATTGTGGATCTTTGTTGGGCAGTGGGCTGCTGGACTTGTTTGAGGCACTGTATTTGATTTGTACTCTCTTGCATGACAAGGATGTTTTTCCTTCAGGCAGACTCTTGCTGTTGTTGCTTTAGTTTTTCTTCCAACTCCCTTAAGCCAGTTATGCCATTAGAGTTCAGATCTGTGTATTTGCCTTCCAAAGCCTGTGCATATGCTTCATACTGTTTCCACCTTAAAATTAACTCATCTTGGTGCCATAACTTTGAAGTCTGCCTCACTCATTCGAACCTTTTTGGGAAGAGGTTCCTCGCTAGTCCTCTAGAATCTCGTTGCCTCTCGAGTTAGCCACAACCATCTGACCACCACCAGCACCACTGCAGGAGGAAGGCAAAGGGACGAGGTGGACCAGAGGTCTCCAGGTGCCAGGGAGGAGCTGAGCTCAAGTGACACCCCCTGTAAGCTGCACAGGAGCTGGGACAGATACAGCCTATGGTGCAGGGTGGACCATGAGGTTGGAGGTCAGCCACAAGGCACTGTGGGAAGGGCCTATTATTTTTTTGATAATAGCCATCCTAGTGAGTGTGAGGTAGTACTTCATTGTGGTTTTCATGTGCTGATTGAAGAAATGTCTATTCAAATCTTTTGACTATTTTTGAATTGGGTTGTCTTTTTGTTGTTTGGTTGTATGAATTCTTTATATATTCTGGATAGCAAACCTTGATCAGATTTGTGATTTCAAATGTTCTATGGGTTGTGCTTTCATTCTCTCAATAGTCTTTTTAAAAAATTTATTTATTTTTGCCCTGGCTGGTGTAGCTCAACGGATTGAGCAAGGGCTTGTGAATCAAAGGGTCGCCGGTTCAATTCCCAGTCAGGGCACGTGCCTGGGTTGTGGGCCAGATCCCCACTGGGGGGCACATAAGAGACAACCACATATTGATGTTTCTCTCCCTCTTTCTCCTTCCCCTCCTCTCTCTCTAAAAATAAATAAATAAAATCTTTAAAAAATGAATATTTATTTTTAAAATTACAGTTGACATACATTATATTAGTTTCAGGTGTACAACATAGTGGTTTAGACATTTATCATTTACATACCTTATGGAGTCATCACCCCATAAGTCTACTACCCACCTGACACCACACACAGTTGTAACAACATTGTTGACTCTATTCCCTATGTGCACTTTATATCCCCATGACTATTTCTATAACTGGCAATTCGTACCTTTTACTTTTCATCCAGCACTCCAACCCCCTCCCATCTGGCAACCATCACTGTATTCTCTGTATCTATAGGTTTGTTTTGTTTGTTCATTTTGTGTTTATTATTCTAGATTTCACATATAAGTGAAATCATATGGTATTTGTCTTTCTGTTTGAATTATTTCACTAAGCATAGTACCTTCTAGGTCCATACCTCCACAAGTGGCAAGATTTCTTTTTTTCCATTGTAGAAATGTACATCTTTCTCCTTCTACCAATGAATACTTAGGCTGCTTCCCTATTTGGCTACTACAAATAATGCTGCATTGATGGTGTCTTTTGATGTATAAAAGCTTTCAATTTTAATGAAGCCCTATTTATTTATCTAAAACTTTGTTGCCTGTATTTTTGGTGTCTTATTTAAGAAACCATGGTCAATTCACTATAAAAATTTCTCCTTAAATTTTCTCCTAAAAATTTTAGTTTTAACCCTTACATGTAGGTTTTTGATCCATTTTTAGTCAATTTCTACATGGTGTGCCCTGCCCTTTTTTGCATGTATACATCCAATTTTCCCAGCACCATCTGTTGAAGAGACAGTTCTTTCCCCCAGTGAATGATCTTGGGACCCCTGTGGACACACCAATTAACTGTAATTGTGAGAATTTACTTCTTGGTTCCCAATTCTATTCCAATGGTCTGTATGTCTAACTTTATGCCAATGCCACACTGTTTTGATTACTGTAGTAAGTTTTCAAATCAGGAAGAGTGAACCTCCAACTTTGTTCTTCATTTTCTAGATTTTTTGGCTATTAGGGGTCCCTTGAGATTCCAGATGAATTTTAAAATGAATCTTTCTAATTAAAAAAAGAAAAAGAAAAAAACAAGCACTATTGGGACTTTCACAGGGATTGCATTCTTAAGTGTTTTTTTTTTTTTTAATTGGGATATCCAACCACTCTGCCATGTAATTTCCTATATTTTGGATAACTCTGATTGAACCCCTGTGGTGTGCATTAAATGAGGTTTCTCTGATTCAGATATGCTTTTTACAAGAATTCAAAGGTGGTCCGTGATGGCCCTCTGTTATGGGACAGTAGTTTTTGGGTTGTCTCCTGTTTTGTGATGTTGGGAGCCACTGATGATCACTGCCTACCCACAATTTCATTACAAGTGTGCAAAAGGTTGATCTCTGAATTCTGTTATTCCTTGTTCATTTATAGGCTGGAGTACTTTTATAAAAGGCAACTTCCCCTGAAGAAAGTTATCCTGAGGTCCAGTTCATGCAGGAAATGCTGTCTAAACATTTTACTCTATGTTTGAGCAGTTTTCATAATGAATTGGTCCTCTGGCATTCTCCAAAGGTGACAAGTAAGCCTTTAAAAAGCATACTTAGGGAACTCATGAATTCTAAACACCTGCTGAATTTTAATACAATGCGTTTGTACTTATTAACAACCATTAAAAACTGTCAAATTTTGTGACATGTGAACTCTTTTGTATGTTCAATTTTATCACTATTCTGACCATCCCTCAGTGACGTGCAGAGAAGAACAGCAGTGCAAGTGCAGTGGGCAGTCGCTGCTACCCACACACTACGACCGGCTTCCCCTACGGCTCAGCCATCAAGAGGCTGGAATTTTTTCTCCAATGACTCAGTGGAGCTTCAAAACTCAATTACTGCCCTGGCTGGTGTGATTCAGTGGACCAAATGCTGGCCTGAGAAGCAAGTGTCGCTGGTTCAATTCCCAGTCAAGGCACATACCTAAGCTGCAGGCCAGGTTCCCAGTAGGGGCATGCAAGAGGCAACCACACACTGATGTTTTTCTCCCTCCCTCCCTCCTTTTCCTTCTCCAAAAATAAATAAAACCAACCAACCAAACAAACAAAACAACCCTCAATTACTAATGACTATACCCAGAAAAACCGCCACCCTTCATGTCTCTTCCTAACAACATGTCAAGCTGCCTCAGAGCCTTTGAAAAAAGAACTAGGGCCAGTGCTTCCTTTTCTTTTCTTCCTTTCATGTCTGTTATGTGAATGTAGTCCATACCTTGGGTTTGTTTGGGTGTGCCAAGGGTAAAGTGGTGGTCACTGGCGACCCAAAAATGTTACTGGTCTTCCCACCAGGTGGGTTCAGACGCTGTGAAGTATGCACAGGTGTTGATTCCTCAAAGATACCACTTCCTTTTCCCCCTGCAAAAACAATCACAGAACAGTGAGCAATCCACAACACCCATCTGCTCCTGCCTTCCACACTGACTACTTCAGAGACCTCTTCTCATAGTACCACCCTAGTCCAGGCCTAAGTCCAAGCCAAAATGGCTGGGATGGTTAGAGTTCCTAAAGACCTACCCCTTTACCAGGTGCCTGCTGGGGACCTGATTTCTGGAACTGAGCTGAACTGGGCTGGCCTCTACAGGCAAGAGGGTAGAGATGACATAAAACAGTATTTTCCCCATAGAATTTCTTTATCCCTGAACTTTTCATGCCTTATTTTGGATGAAGAACCTTCTTCATCAAACCCATGAAAAGTTCTTTAGTAGATTAAAAACAAACAGCTTCTGAGTTTTTAGGTTGGACAGACAGAATTGAATAACATGCCCTGTTAAGAGGCAAACCTGTAATCTGGTAAAATAACATTTAGTAGTCATTTGCTGATCTCGTTCTGGTGGAATGGCCAGTAACAACTAGATATGTCAGCAAACCAGAGACATTTAATATCTTTGCTGCCAACTCTAAGTAGTCTGATAAGCCATAATCAAAATAGGCATGTAAGCCTTGACCAATGTGACTTGGCTGGCTGGGCATTGTCCTGCAGACTGAAAGGTCTCGGGTTCAATTCCTGATCAAGGAACATGTCCAGGTTGCAGGTTTGGCCCCCAGTTGGGGCACATATGGAGGCAACTGATTAATGTTTCCCACAATTACGTTTCTCTCCCTCTCTCCCTTCTCTCTTCTCTGGAATACATTAAAAAAAAATACACATAAGACGTAATTTCTAATAAGGAGATGACTAAGGCCTGGATATGAAAAGTAAATGTTTAAATACCCTACATGAAGCAGAAAGATGGATACAATACCAACGGATCATCTCTTCACTCCATAAACACCAAGCGCGCACCTCCTGTGCACAGAGTGCTGTGCTATGTGGAGGTGGGGCCGTCCCGATTACGGCTGCGGTGCACCAACAATTCACCTCACAGGAAGGACAAAAGTGCATTCCGCTAACTAGGTAGGTGGCTGCACACAAGCAACTTGGCCATTCTATACCCCAATAAAAGGAACTTCTTCACAGCACTATGAGAGGATTCAGTGACTTACTGTAGCTCATATACCAAATGCTTAGAACAATGCCCAGGACACAAATGCTCAATAAACATTGGCTATATTTTCTGTCCTGGATGTACTGTTCAGTGAGAAAAGGTGCAAAACAATCTATATAGTACAAAATGCCTTAATCTAAAAGAGGGTATTCTTTTTTGCTCAGATCTGAATAAGGAAAAGTGGTTAGTCACTTAGCTATAATAACTTACACTGTTTTGACACAAGGCCATGGAATCTTAAGAACAGTATGGATGACGAGCTCCATGTGCGCTCTGAGGGGAGCAGGCGCCCCCCAGGGGTTGGTTCTCTCAATAGCCCTCAGACCGCCACTGCTAGAATGGATTCTAAAGCAGTGGGGCTTCCAAGACTCCAGTCTTCTAGGGGAGACATAAGAATCACAGAACACAGAAAGGAGTGGCTGGGGTTCCCTGGCTTTATTTGGGGGGGGGGGGGGGGGCGGGACACAGAGAACATGTGGGACTGCCCTGCAGGACAATGTGTGCACACACACACTCATGTAACATTAGTGTGATTACAAACCTTCTCAACACTGGCTACTGACTACGCACATCCCAAGGAGCCATAAACCCCAGGCTGGAAACCCTCGGGCTGGGCAACCAGCACTGCGTGGTGTGAAGGGCGGCTGATCTGTGGCCAGACTGCCGGGTGAGGACCTTGCTCAGTCACTTACTCTGTGAGCCCAAGTAAGTGACCTCAACCTACTTTTGTCTCCATTTTCTCTACTCTAACAAGGTATAAATAACAGTACCTTCCTACGGTGGTTGGTGAGATACGAGTTAATACAAATTAATACTCATGAAGTGGATAAGACCTCAGCAATGCCACCAGGCTGTTGTTACTAACAGTGTGTTGTTACCAAAAATGTCTAGACCACAAAGTGAAGAAAAACTACTGCTTGAGGCTATCCCCTTATTGCATTGTTTCAGGTTATGCTGAAGTAAATTATTTTTACAGTGCACATTCACCTTAAAAAAAATGGAAACCCTGGCCAGGTGGCTCAGTTGGTTAGAGCGTTGGCCTATACACCAACAAGTTGTGGGTTCAATTCCCAGTCTGTGTGTATACAGGAGACAACAGATATTTCTGTCTCACATCTATGTGTTTTTTTTCTTTCCTTCCCTCTTTCTCTAAAATCAACAAATATATCTGTAGCTGGGGATTAAAAAAAAGAAAATAATTAAAAATGGAAGATAAAAGTAACTCATTTTGAAGATTTTGGCTAGAGGCACTGCTCATTTAAAAACATTTCTTTAATTGTAAACCGAACAGAAAAGTTCGTTAAGACACAACTATCACAAGTAAAGACAAAGCAAACACCCACATGACTACCGCCAGGTTGTAGCTGCCACCAGCACCCAGAAACCTGGTTATTCCTTCCCCGTTACTCCAGGTCACCACATGCCTGAATTTTCTGGAAACCACAAACTTGTTATTTCTCTTATGATTTTAGTGTATGTGTCCAATCCTAAACAATATAGTTCTGTGTCAGTATTTTACCTGAAAGAAATTCAGCTTTGAAGATGAAAAAGGTACTCAATGTACCCATAATCAAAGAAAGATAAATTCAAGATACACTTTTTTAAGAACCAAATTGCAGCCCTGGCCAATGTGGGTCAGTTGGTTGGAGTGCCACCCTGTAAACCAGAAGCTTATGGGTTTAATTCTCAGTCAGGACACATGCCTAGGTTGTGGGTTCAGTCCGCAGACTGGTCAGGGTGCACATGAGAGGCGACCAATTGGTTTCTCTTTTACATTGATGTTTCTCTCCCTCCCTCCCCTCCTCTCTAAAAATCAATAAGCATGTCCTCGGGTGAGGTTTAAAAAAAATTGCAAAAAACAAGACAATCTGGCCTTGGACAAGTGGCTCGGTTGGTTGGTGTGTCGTCCTGTGCATCAAAAGGTTGCGGGTGCAATTCCTAGTCAGGGCACATACCTAGGTTGAAAGTTCTATCCCTGGTTGAGGTCCATATGGGAGGCAACCGATCAATGCTTCTCTCTCTCAAGTTAATATTAACTTATCCTTGGGCGAGGACTAAAACAAAGATAAGACAGTGTGGCAGCAGAGTGTGAGGAGCAGGGGCATCACGTACGTCATGGTGAGCACTGGCGACCCACCCACAGAAGACTAGCTGGAAGTATCTATCAGGAGTTTAAATCATCCAGCAATTCTATTTTGAGAAATTCATCCCAAAAGATATCCTTAGGAGGTATATTTGGAGCTCCAGAGCCAGGACAACCCATATGCAAAGGCCAGTTCTGCTTCCGATGCGCTGTGGGGCTTGGGCACAACAGTGAACCTCCTAGAGCCTCAGCTTCTTCTGTAAAGGGGGTGACACCACCTACCTCCTGGGGCTGCAGAGAGAACCAAACACACATATGCAAATCCTTTAGCACACTCCCTGGTCTATATTAAATGAACCATGCATCCATCAGTTATCATTAGATCGCCAGAAAAACAACTGCGGATGATTTACACCAGGTGACTGTGAAAGCACACGAACGAGGAGCAAACGGACACTGGGCGTGACAGCCCTTGGTCAGTTTTCAGTGACTCATGCAGGAAGCCGCACAATCTGTCCTGAATACTTTTCTCCAAAGGCCCTCTCACCGGAGGGCTGTGGGTCTAAGTCTATGAAACTGAAAAAGAAACAAGGGTAGGAGTTTAGGCCTGAGGCTGTGGACACAACTAGCAGTTTTCTGTTTCTGGCTTCCCTTGAGAATACATCACAGATAATTTAAAAAATAAATTTTTAAAATGTTATTTATTTATTCTTAGGAAGAGGAGAAAGGGAGAGGGGAAACATCAATGTGTGGTTGCCTCTCACACACCCCCTACTGGGGATCTGATCTGAAACCCAGGCATGTGTCCTGACTGGGAATCGAACTGGTGACCCTTTGGTTCGCAGGCTGGCACTCAATCTACTGAGCTACACCAGCCAGGGCAATTTATTTTTAATTTTTAAAAATATATTTTATCTACTTATTTTTAGAGAGAGGGGACGGTAGGAAAGAAGAGAAGAAGAGAAACACTGATGTGAGAAACACTGATCAGTTGTCTCTCGTGTGCACTGAACCCGAAACCTAGGTATGTGTCCTGACCAGGAATCAAACCGTCAACCCTTCACTTTGCAGGACGATGCCCAACCGAGTGGCACCAGTCAGGGCCATCGCAGATAATTTTAAGGAACATGTGGCAGGATCACAAGAGACAGGAACTCGGCACATGGACTCATGCTGGTTGCTGATGTACCTTGTAACTAACTATGCACAGCAGAGGCTTTCTCCCTCTCCAGTCAAGAGGAGCCCAGGGTGCCCAACTGGGCACTAGAGCTGGGGCACCATAATAAAAAAGTTCGTAAGACACAACTATCACACATAAAGACAAAGCAAACACCCACACAACTACCACCAGATCATACAGATGCTACTGGCTCCCAGATTCTGTCCCCAAGCTGTCACACTTTCCAGGGAACCTGACACCCCAGGGGTAGCTGCAGATACACACACTGCTGAATCAAGGCCAAGAGAGCTGGCCTGTCCATCTTCAAGGGCCTCAGATTTGATTCAGTTTGCCACGTGGCCCAACATCATGCTATTGCTGGTACAAAGGACGTGCAGGGCTGGATACAGTAGGAACATTATTCACTTGGTAAAACCTTATAGCGTCTCTACTATAAATGTATCTACACCAACCTTATGCCCCCAACCAATGAAATAAAACACTAGCTTTTGAACCTACTGCTTTTGTTTATCTGGGTTTGGTCAAAAAAATACAAGGGGAAAAAACTCCCCGCAGTCATCTTCTGGAGGGTAGGCCCCTTGTAGCACAGGCATCCCCCACTAGATGAATGTTCTAGGTACCCATCTGTATCAGTGTGCCCAGCTGGGGTTGTTGTGAGAGGCTGCATACAGCCTCTGAATTTTTGGGGGAATACTCAGTGTCTGCCCATTTCATGATGGGTGATTTACAAGCATACCTGCCCATACTACACTGAGTATTTAGCAGTTTTTGACTGAAAATGGCATGGCCCCTGTGCCCAACCCTCCCTATTCACCTGATATCGCCCCAAGCTACTTGTTTGTATCCCTGGATGGATGAAAAAAGTCCTCAAAGGGAAATGTTTTGTTGACGTGGAAGAGATGAAATAAAAATTGGCAGAAGCACTAAAAGGCATCAAAATCAACATGTTCAAAAACTGTTTTGAGCAGTGGAAAAAAATGTCTCAACAGGTGTACTGCATCAAGTGGAGAGCACTTTGAAGGTGACTGAAGTATAAACATGTAAGAATAAATACACATTTTTAAATAAATAAATTCCTGTTTTCCGGGGGTCCCCCCTTATATGTATTTAAGAAAAAAAGTGTATCCAGAATTGAAGTGGAGTAGCAAGCAGCCCTAGCTCTGGTTCTGCTCGATTTTATTATTTGTCTGAAATACTGATTCCTATGTCTGGCCCCTCAGATCTTGAAGGATGGGACGAATCTTGCTTCTCCTCACGGATACAGACAGGGGAGAGCTCTTCTGGTAACTAGCCCTGCATGGTCCCGTCACTCAACTGGACAGTCTATCAGCCAAGGAAAACACTGCTCCAGATGCTGTTCCACTCTGACCACCAGAACGCGGGTGAGAACGACACAGGTGTGCGCTAGACCAGGTCCTCCTTTTTTAGAGCTTCAAACCCACCCACACGCTGAGTGTCCTTCCTAAGAAAAATGTTTAAATACGTAATCTGTGCACAATTCTAGGGATCTCAAGGAGTCCATGGGACAACTGGGAAAGTCCCCCTGGTGGGAGAGTGCACCCTCAGCACCTACACCTAGCCAATGTCTGCTGACAGAGAGGGACAATTCGAGAATGATCGAGGCACCTTCAAGGAAAAGTCTTCCTCACATTCTAGAACTCTGATGGGAGGGGATAACCTGTACCAAAAATTATGTGAAAGGATTTATATATACACACACACACACACACACACACACACACACACACACACACACACACACACTATATATATATATATATATAAAATTTTATCAAAAGAGCAGTGAAAAAAGAACAGGTAGAGGCCAAAGAAGAAATGAGTCACAAAGGCCCGTACCCGGGGGGTTGGTTCTCTTAGGAATGTTCTGAGGTTCTTCAGTTGGTCCAAAAATATTCGATGCCATCCTATTGGGTCGGCTTGAAGGAACACCTTCTTCTGGACTTCCGAAAAGATCGCTTGACGCTCCTCCCGGAGGCTTCATGGCCCTGCAGACACAGAGCGAGCAGGAGTGAGTCATGGATGGCTGACGTGGATCTCAATGCCCAAAACTGGACAGGGCACATGTACTTTCTTTTTTCAAATTTTATCCTCACCCAAGGATATGTTTTATTGATTTTACAGAGAGGGAAATGGAGTGAGAGACAGAAGCAATGATCAGCTGCCTCCCATACATGCCCCGACTGGGGAATCAAACCCTCAGCCTTTTGGTGTATGGGACGACGGTCCAACCAGCTGAGCCATCCGGCCAGGGCCAAATGTACTACTTTCTTAGTGTCTGTGGAAAAATTCCATACTGACGAGACTAGTTTATAGATGGCCATACCACAAGCTTCCTTTACTGCTCTTAAAAGTTCCCTTAAAAGTTTTCTTTGTATGTCTTGGTTATGCCAAAAACCTCTTGAAATTGTGTATACTTTGAAATTATTCCTGAGACCTCTTATAAGTAAGTTAGTTTGCCTAAGACAGGCAAGTTGAGCTGTATTCAGTAGCATTCAGTACAAATTTTAATTAGTATACAGTAGCGTGAAATACTATAAACACATACAGTGGTGTTCAATACTGTGGCTTTCCGTATGCCAGCTACAGCTTTAAAGACCTCACACAACAGCCCTCTGAGGCAGGAACTACTATCACAAACTGTGAATCCGAGATAAAGCAAAAGCAGGAGGCAGGCCACACAAGGAGCAGCAGAGCCAGGACCCACTCCCAGGCAGTCTGGATCCGGAACTCCAACTACGCCCTCACGCCTCTCTTAAAGGCCTCCAGCAAAACATGAGGGGGGAGCACACCATGCAGCCACAAATCGAGCCTGACTCACCGAGCTGAGTCTTCAGAAGGACTGTTGCCGCCAGCGGCCACAGGCCCTTGGATGTGGAAGGGCTCCAATGTGCTACACGGGTAGACTGCACACCAGATTTCAAAGACGAATAGGCAGAGTATCTCTTTAATCTTGTCTTCTACACAGTTCATATGTTGAAATAGTGTTTTGTACATGATAGGTTGAATTATATATTAAATTAATTTTTTTCCTGATTCTTTTTACTTTTTAAAATGGGGCTACTAGAAAATGTAATGTTCCTTATGTAGCTCACATTTCTATCGGAAAGTGTCAGCTCAGACCATGGGGAGTGCCAACACGAACCCAGGTGAGTCCTGAGACTCTGCACCAGGACAATCACCTCCGGTTCTCAAGTCTGGAGTAACCTGTGAAACGCCGAACACCAGGAATCAGAGAACACACCTGCCAGCACCACTGTTCACTCCAGAGCAACCCACATGCACCAAGCGTCATCTCTAAAGCACATCGGCCAGATTCTGAGGGTTGATTTTAATCAAACAACTACGGAGAACAGTGGCGTTCAGTTAACAACACTGCTCAGTCAACAGCAGCAGCACTTGCCCAAATCCCCGTCTGTGGGGACCTGACGCGCACAGCTTGGCGGGTCTAAGGTAGACGTTTCAGAAGAGAGAGATCAGGACCACGAGTCATTACTGCAGTAACTGAAGGATTCAATCTTCACAAAGCTCCACCTGATACCCCCTGAGTTTGCTTACTTTCACAAAGAAGCAACACAATGAGTTTATAGCATTTTTCAGAACACTAAAAATTTTTAAATGGTATTAAAGGAGAGAAGGGCCTACTGAAATAGTGTTAAACTGGTGAGCGGCCCAGGCTCCTTCACGAGACCTAAGCAACAGTGACATTCAGAAACGGAATAAACTGCAGAGCTCAACACATGAAAGCTCCGATCCAGTGAGGTTAGGCCTCACTGGAAAGCTATACAAACACTGTCAAAAATTTAGTTTACAAAAATAATAGGATATTTAAAACGTTTCCTCAAAAGAGCTAGAATGGGAGCTGATCGTTCACTGTGATTTAGAGTGATCCCCCTGTGGTAGAACAGGACTGCGGGAGCACCCATCTGCTCTCCAGAGGGCAGGCGTGGCGGCCTCGGGCCAGAGGGAGACCAGCCGGCCAACCAGTCACACCACAGAAGCAGCCAAGGACGCAGCGGGCAGGCCTTCCACGCAGTGCCCGAAGTCCCTGCCTGCTTGGGAGGACGGTGAAGGTGGGTACCTGTTCAGCAGTTAGGATTTCCTTAAGGATTTTATGAAGAAATAAACATTACTTCAGCTTGAGGGAAAAACGTCTTAAAACTAATCAATAACCAGATTAAATTAGTAAAGGCTTAATAGGACTTGAGATCGCGCACTTTGTTAGTGGACACAGTGAGGCCACCTGACTCCTGTGTGCATTTATAAGTCCCAGAGCCCTAGTCACACCAACAGTCTCTGTATTTTTCTTGACACGCTGCAGCAGGTCCAGTGTGCTTGGATCTCTAACACCATCTCTCTGAAAAAGGGAATGGAGACCTGCAATCTTCAGAACTAAACTGAATTTAACAGCATGTCTCATGCTGGCATGAGTTAAGATTCCCACTTTACTGACTTACTTACAGAGCCTGCGATCACAGCGAGCAAAGAGCACCTTCGGGGCACAGGAGGTAAGTCATAGCTATTTGAAATGATGACATGCTAACCTGGAGTAGTGGAAATGCAGTGTTTATTCTATTATTCTCTATACTTTTCTGAGTTTTATTTTACTTTGAAAACAGGGAAGAAAAAAACTAAAGGTGCGAAGAATGTAGCAGCAGAGAGTCCTGAGCATAACAGCCGAGCCACCATTTCCAGCACAAACAAAGGCAATGGGGTCCGCAGCTGCACGCGGCAGCAACACACTGCACGGAGTGCTTAAACAGGGTCTCAGATAAACTGGACGTTAAAGAGTTAAACAGACATTTCAATAAAAACGGAACCCACAACAATGGTTTAATGTGGCTCTACTATCAGTTATCACTATGACACTAATTTGGGAGAGGGCGTGGGAATACCACTGAGCACAGACATTTTGGGGATGAAACCACATGTGGGACTGTTCCCCAGTTATTTTTTCATTTCAACATATTTCAACAAAGATATTCAAAAATACAAAAGAGAAGCTAAGGGGTGTGTGACGAGAAGGGGAGGCACACACAGCTCAGGGAGTATGCATGGCATGAGCAGAGAAAACAAGGCCTGGGGTGGGTCTCCACGTTCCTGACCCTCCAAAATCTTGTCCCTGTGTCAGAAGAGCTTTTGGGGATTGATCAAGTTCGGAGAGAAGCAGAGAAATAGACTTGTATTAAATTCTTTACAAGTAGCCCTGGCTGGGGTGCTCAGTAAGTTGGAGCATCACCCCATACACCAAAAGGTTGAGAGCTCAGTCCCTGGTTGGGGTGCGTACAGTAGGCGATTGATCCGTGTTTCTCTCCCTCACTCTCAAATCAATAAAAACATATCCTCCAGTGAGGATTTTAAAAAATCCTCACAAATATATTATACCTGGAATGTCCAACCTGTAGCCCACAGGCCCAGGATGGCTGTGAATGCAGCCCAACACAAAACTGTACAGTTACTTAAAATATTATGAGGTTTTTTTGTGATTATGTGTCAGAGTATATTTAATGTGTGGCCCAAGACAACTCTTCTTCCAGTGTGGCACAGAGACCACCAAAAGGTTGGACACCCCTGCCAGCTTAAAGGAAGGACCTTAGATTAATGATGGCTAAAGCAAAATGCTTTTATAGTTCAAAATCCCTTTAACACAAAATGATTAAGAAAATGAAAAACACAGGTGGAAGAGGAAAACCTGGCTGGGTAATTCTATATCCACCACTTAGTTCCCTCCCTCCACAGCCAATTAAAGTGTAAACCCTACACTGCCTGTCTAGCTAGCTAATCAAGTCCTTTAAGGCAAAGCTTCCAACAGATCCCAAGCAGAAGCTTCCAATTACAGGTAATTATCCAATTATGAAGACTGTTTTTCCTGCTTCAAAGTTCTGAAAGACTTTTCTCCTTTTCATAAAATCCTCTCCAAAAATGAATCTCCCTAGGAAGTGTAGAGACTACCTTAGAGCACCGGCTCTGCAGCTAATGACTGTAGCTTGCGGTCAGCATAACAGCAGTGTTACTCAAAGCTTTTATTCCTACACTCAACCAGTGTTTCCTGGGCATCCAGTGTATGCAGTGTAAACAATGAGGGGATATACTTAATGGACACAACTGGGAAAGTGCTAGGAAGAGGCTGTGTGGGTGGCACACAACAGTAGTCACCAGGCACCAGAAACTCAATGCATCCTGAGCACTCCAGGGGAAACTCCTGGCCTCCATCGGTATAGATTTAGATGCAAGTGATTAACAGTCATTGTTCCATGGATTAACAACTACTTAATTCTTAGGGGCATTAATGAGTTAGGGTGTTAATCCTGACTCCACCAAATTTAAAGGCTCTTAAGCGAGTTCAAACAGTTCTTTTATTTAGTATCTAGTATACAGTATTTAGTTCAATAGTCCTTACACACAGTCTCTTCTACAGAAGAGCTCATAATAAAGAAAACTCTTGGGCATCTTAAGACCCAAAACTTAAAAGTGCAAGCAGTCTCCCCAGTGGCAGGACAGACCTCAGCAGCTCTGGCAACTAATGTATCTTACTTCCAATACTTTAAAGTTAAAAAGAAAGTGTGTTCTTTTTCACCCAGCCTTGGACAGCGGTTTCAGAATGACACTGAACATCTTTTCCAGCCACTGGCTGCCAGAAACTCACTGAAGTGGACAATGAACACAAACTCCGGCCAGTGTATGGCCACAGAAGTTGCTGCTGACACTCTGGGTGAAGAGTGTAAGGGTTATGTGGTTGGAATCAGTGGTGGGAATAACAAACAAGGTTTCCCCATGAAGCAGGGTGTCCTGACTCAAGGCTGTGTCCACCTGCTGCTGAGCAAGGGGTATTCCTGTTACAGACCAAGGAGGACTGGAGAGCGAAAACACAAATCAGTTCAATCTCAGTGTTCTCAACTTGATCATTGTAAAAAAAAAAAAAAAAAGTGGGGGATAGAGATATTCCTGGTCTCTAAGGAATATCTCTGGTCTCACTGGTACTACTGTGCCTTGTCACCTGGGGCCCAAAAGAGCTAGCAGAATCCCCAAACTTTTCAACCTCTCTAAAGAAGATGATGTCCTCTAATATGTTTAGAGAAAGCCCCTAAACAAAGAAGGTAAGAAACCTAGGACAAAAGCATCTAGTATTTAGCATCTTGTACTCCACTTGTCTGCAACATACTAAGAAAAATAAAGAGGCTGCAAAATATGTCAAACTTTTGGCTAAGAAAATAAAGGCAAAAAACCCCACCAGGAACAGATTGCCAAGAGACATAGTCTGTTCTCTTTGAGAGCTTCTACTTCTGCCTCCAGTCAAAACTGAGGTTTTCTAAGAGCAACAAGTAAGAACAAAAAAGAAAAGGAAAGTATGTTGTGGTGTGCAATGAGATCTCCGTTTCTATTATCTGTAATGCGGCCTGGTTCACCATCAGCAAAGCAGGGAGGGCAGTGCCTTGCCTACTTCCTGGGGTGCGGGATTAGGGAATGGCCACAACTACAGCCCAGGGCTCTGGGATCAGGACAAGGGCACACCCTGGCTCCTGGGCTGGGGGACTTCAGGTGGGCACCACCTGCCTCCCCAGGCTGCAGGATTAGGGAAGGGCTCCACCTGGCTACACAGGGCTTCGGAATTAGGGGAGGGCTCCAAAGGATTGAGATTAAGAGAGGATTTCAGGATGGTGACCTTTCCCGGGGCCGTTCAGCAGCGTGGCAGGCGCCAACACAGGCTCCAGGAAGGCGCCCGGCAGCCACCCACACACCCGCTTTGTCCAGGCTCCCGGAACTCCCAGTCCCGAAGTAGCAGACCACTCAGCGACGTCTTTCAGGCGCGCTATGTAGGAAAAATGCGGAAAGGCGCACCTCCAGCCCTCAGCCGAGATGCTGGTGGGTGTAAGAGCACACCCGCTTGTTTGCCCATCTCTCCGATGCCGAAGCTGAGACTGCGGCTCTGTGAGGTCACCCGACAGCCTCCCCGCAGGCCGCGCCCGCACCCACGCCCGCGCTGCACCTGGAGCCGGTTCGGCCACCCTCGCTCTCCGAAACCTGGAACATGTCGCCCGCTGCTCAGCCCCTCGTCGTCTGCCGCACAGCGGTTCCCGCCAGGCTCCGCGCAGCCCTACTCGCACGCAAGCACTTATTGGACAACGCCGATGCTGGTCACGTCATCGCACCCTATCAAGGCATCGAGCCCCGCCCCATCCCAAAAGCCGAAGGCTTGTGGAGGACCGCGCTCTCAGCTAATTGGTGGGAGCAGGTGCCGCTGATGGTGTCAGGAGTCAGCATTGGGCAGGAGCCAACAGAAGGCGGGCTGCCCCTGAGGCGGGCGGGGCCGTGACGTAGGCCCTTGCGGCTAGTGGCCTGAGGCCCGCCGGTCCAACTCCCGTTCAGGCATTCGCTGGGAATCGCTTCCTGGGCGGGAGAGCGTGCTACTCTACCGAAAGCCAAGAGGAGCCGAACTCGTGCCCTGGTGACCCAGACACGCGGGAGTAAGGGGGCGGAAGGGCAAAGTCTAGACTTAGACGACAACCACTTTCCCAAGGCCACTGACTGGCTGCTTATTCTTAAGGGATAGTGGAAGTATCTGTCAAGAGACAGTGGATTTTGCAAACCAGCCAATGGCAGGTGCAGTGGTTGGCAACAGACCACTAATCCGATTTATCTGTTCAGGGAGTCAGCAGTTCCGGTCCTTCCCAGTCTTGGAGCGCCTCAGAAAGACATCTTCATAAATAGGGAGCAAGGGATAAAGCGCACCAGTTCCTTCTTTCTGGTACACTTTATGTTAAAAATTAAACATAGTCGGCAGTGTTCTGTTAATCAATTACACTGCAGACAGCCCTTCTATTCTTCTGAGAGCTTACCAACCAAATGAAAAGCCACTTGAACTGTTTTTAAAATGCACTTAAAAAAAGAGGCAGAAACAAAAATTATTAGATCAAGTATTAGTATGTATTTATGCACAATAATAAAAACATTTACAAGTTAAACTGGAAATTTAAACATAAGAAGTTTAACAGCTTTTGTTTATTATATTAAATAACCAAAACACCTTTTATTCCCAAAATTGGTAAAGAATAAATAATGTAATTTACAATATGGTACAAAAAGTAATCAGGAAGGACAGGCATTCTGCTTTATACATACACTGTATATGTATATTTATTATCTATAAAACAAATTCACATCTCAAACAAGCCAAAAACCTTATATGATATGGCTTAACGATTATTTAAAAGAAACAGCAGTAAGTTCCGCTGCCCAGACCAGAAGCTCTGGAGCCAGTTATCCTGTTGTAGAACAAAGGGTAAAGGTTGCTGTAGTGCTTCCAAGCCTGAACTTAGTGAGACTTACAAACTATTGTGGGATTAGGAGAGCTCTGACAGGAAAGGTCTGCTGTGGTTCCCTGCTCCCCTCAAGACAAAGTGCCCTATTTCCTCATGAATACATCTGATAGGTCTCAATGCCTTAAAAACAAACAAAACACAAAAAACCCACAGCAGCGGGTATGCTCCTCATCCGCTTTTTCCAGTGTTTTATTCCGTAACTTTTTTCTGCACAACTTTGGGTTCAGTGGTGTGATCTTGGTTAAAATGTTATTACACTGAAAGAGACACCCATCAGAAGTGAGGCCATGATACAGAATGGTAAAAGAATGGGATTCTGAGGCTGAGAATCTGAAGATGTGAGAAAGTAGATTAACTGATGAAATGTTTCCAATTATCTCCACTTCCTGGGAGCAAGTGCTCTACACCCAGAAGATAAAGAGAAATAAAAAATGTCATCACAAACTTCATGTGGAACCATAAACTTCCATTTGTCTCTGCATTTTCTAGAGAAGGGCATGTTCACCACTGGATGGCCACAGTAAGAATCAAGGCCACAACACCAACTCCCTTGAGACCAGAGACAGTCACTCTTCATAAAAGATGAATCAGCAAGAAGATGCCAGATGACATTAGAGTGACCAGGAAAACATGTCTCTGAGAAACTGATCTGTTCTTAATTATAACATGCTCAAATGTACAAGGAAGCCACAGGTGTATACTGAAACTATTACAACTTCCACGGAAAGGCAGTGAAAGATGCAGGAGACAGGAGGCTTTTCTATTTGGGTCTTTTGCAAATTTCAGCCTCTAACAGTTGCTTATTTTAATATTCACTTAGGCTGGGGAAAAAAATGCTTCCATCCTTATAATGCCACAAATGACACCATTTTCCCCTTACTACGGCAAGCAAACACTTATATTAAGCATCTGGTTGCTAAAGAAGCAGAATTCTCTGGAAACTTGTGAGCTGTTACAGGTGAGAAGAGTTAGTCAACTCTTCTCTGTAGCCCACTTCCTCCAATGAATGACACCGGCCAGTCAGCAACTCCCAAATGGAGCCTATGCCAGAGACCTAGGCAGTAAGTGCTACTAAATAGCCTACAGAAGCTGATCTGAGTTTCCAGAGTTTTTCTCCTTTTAGGGATCACTGAGTAACAGGTGCCCCTGGATGAACACGCAGCTCAGGAGCCCTACATCTCTGGCACAGCACACACCATCATTGGCATCTACACTCTAATGTTACTTGGCATCTCTGGTCCCACACAGTGGAGGGTTATGAGGAAGCTAGCTGTGGCCTAAGCTCAGCCTGGTTTCCTAACCTGCTGCAGACCCAACAAAGTGAGATGCTCAGAGAAAGATATCCTGATCTTGTTCAGCTCAGTAAGGTGCTAATTTCAGGAAGCTGCTATACTGATCACAAAATGTAAGTAGTTTAAAGATACTCTGGTTCAAACAATGCTGTCTATATCTTTTAATAACGAGGCACCATGTCCCTTTCTTTCATATCTCCAGAGCTTTGGAACTTTCTCTAAGAGTGATGTTTGTTCCTAGAACCAGATCTGAAAGAAGGAAGCCACATTAGAGGAAAAACTCCTGGAAAGGCTAGCGGGAGCCTTGTTATAACTTGGTTCTGTGGAAGAACTAGATGCTGGACCACCTGCAGGGGCGACAACTGATAGCCCAGGGAAGTTCACAGAGCACAACACTAGGATGTGGTCCGTGATCTAACTGCACCAGCACGCAGTGAAATAGGAGACCACAGGACAAAAGCAGACACGGGGATTAAACCTGTGCATCATAGTGTTCTCTGCTGTTAGGCTAACAAAAGGAAAAAGAGACTGAAGAAGAGAACCATCCCTGCACAGTCCAATGGTTACAGACGCCAAACAACACATCAGAAGTTCAAGAACTCATCAGGAAAGTCTTAACTGTAGTCAAACAAGAGCTTAGGGGTCATCTCAATAGAAGTAACACTGTAGATCACCTAGAAGAACCCTGTAGATGGATGCAGGAAGGAAACCAACTAAATTGTTTTACCTCTTCATCGTCTAATTCTTAAAATAAGAGAAACATTCTCCCACCAGATTACCAGGGTTTTTCCTAAAAGTCCATACAATCATGCAGAAGACGTGATTCTTTCCCTCTCCTGTTCAGAACATACATCTGGATGGGGAAGCACCAGGCAAGGAGCAGTACTTCTGGGGTGATGGCACCAGTCACGCTGCCCCGGGGCCCTTCTGCTGCCCTGTGATCAGTGTCCCCTGAAGTGTCTGCAGTCTATGGGTGCAGACATCACCAGGCAAAGAAAGCCCAGGCCAGGCCTAGCTAGTCCCCCCACCCTGCCTCCCTCCATCATCACTCTGCAGAGAAGCAACCAAAGTGTGGCACAGGTTTGGCAGAAAGAATGCGGCCACGGTCTGGAGCCTCCCTGCAGAGAGCAGTGAGATTACAACTCCCCTGGACACAACAACTACACCAGGGCATACCCAGCCCTTTCTTTCAAAAAGTTAAAACCCACTGGACTGTCCAAGACAACAAACAAGGCAGAAGCCTGGGTGGAGACACACGGTCATTACGCAGACCCCAATGTGAAATCCTGCAACTGGTGAAGAACGAAGAACCGCTCCAAGGCCACAGTAATGTCTGACACCGACCCTTCCAGAACTCGGCCTCATCTCCCAGGCCACTACTGCCCTATGCCTGTTGGGACATGACTTCCAGCATTTTGCATATTCTGGAGTGCAGAGGTGTCTCGATTCTGACCGTCTTCTAGGGGTCCTGGGCTTGGTTTGTGTTTTTCTAGTCTGAAGAGGGCTATACCTACCACAGTTGAGGACCACTAGCCCTGTGAGCCCTCCTATGATGTCTCTAGGATGCCCCCACTACGAGATACATTCACTGGGATAGGTCGCTGACAGGGGCTGCACCTCCACTGCCATCAAACAGAGCTTCTCGGCGACCGGGCTCAGCAATGGACAGCTCCTGGGCCAAGTCGTTGAACCGAGATATGTAGTCAACGCTGTTTTCGTTCATCATGCACACCAGCTGGGAATCCACGACCTGTGGGCAGAGGACACAAGGCAAGACATCAGCTAGTGGTGGCCTGCCACCTAGACTGGAGAAGAATGGCCACCACTGAGACTTCCAGTTGAAAGCAAATGAACCTGAGACCCGAAGTCTCTCTACAATGAAGACTGTGCTCTCCCATCGATTTGCCATGTAATAGCAGCCCAGCACTCTGGGAAGGATTTCTGAACACTCCATCTTTTTGAACACTGGGTTTTATTTTGTTTTGTTTTGTTTTCTGAGTGAAGAAAATCCTTTTATAATCAAACATGAAGTTAACATGACATCTCATTAGAATTGAACCAGGATAAATGTGCTGGTAGAAAATTTGTATTTCTCACATTCATTTTGAGGAAAATAGTACATAGTGGGCTCTTCTAGGTCTTATAAACTGACTCTGTAAACTTTTTTTTTTTTAACTAGTAAGCAGCATTAACATATATTCTCAGACTGTGCCAAGAAGGTAGAAAGGCAACTATGAATCTAACAGTGATAAGAGCTGGCAGGATTAGAAATACTTTGTTAAGATGTTACGAACCACATTTCTATTTTACCTGTAACATCACTGCACCTTTTTCACTGACAAGGCAACTGTTTGCTGAGGGTGCCACAATGATTAGAAAGTTTCTTTACAGATGTGTGATTGATCAGGGCTCAAATAAGCTTCCTTTCCCAATTTTGTCTCTTTTGGAGCAGAAATAACTTTGCTTTTGCATGTAAGGAAGGTAATATTCTGAAAGTCAGCTTCTGTAATCTTCTAGCTCATAATTAGAAGGGGAGATGAATTATTAGGAGTGCATCTTTGAAATACTGCAAGTTTTTAAAATACCAAGGCTTCTGAACAGCTTCTCAAACCTATCTTTCCATTTTGGTACATAACTTGATAAACATAACACACTGGATCTGCTATAGTAATTTCATCTATCAACTACATTTTGCCCTCAATAAGTGTGAGAACTGTAGAGTCAAACAATTTTTATATATAAAGCATTTTTAGTTTCCTTTTCACTAAACTGAGATTTCCCCCCACTTCTGGGCCTGTGCAAGGTAATCTGAACATACACACATATACTTGCATGCATGTATGTATTTATATGTATGTTTTTACTTTTACCATTAGAATAAAACTAGGCTATAGGAACAACTCTGTGAAGAGTTTGGTCTCCCTCAGAAACCTTCCGCTCAGCTGAGGAAGGCAGGCGCAGTCTGCTGAAGGACGCAATGAGGCTGCAGTGAGCCCGCCCACCATCTGTTAGCCCTGCACGGCCAGGCCTCACCCCCACGGCTGTGTGCACATCCGCTTCTCAGCAGCACATGCCTCTGGACTATGTCGGTCAGAAACAACACGCCGGCTGAGCACCCGGTGCTGTTTGCAATCCTTCAGTAACGCTCACTCTCCACTTTGTGTCCAATCTTGGTATCAAAGCGACCAACAAGAATGCCTCCCTCTGTAGAATGCCCAAATAATAGTTTCTGTGCCTCTCCACTCTCTGAAGAATACATACACACCTTCATTGCAGCCTTTCTCTACTTCCTGACTGCTGGGATTACATCTTCCAAGAACCTGTTTCCTCAAAAGATTGACATCCTGCTGACACTCCTCTTCCTCCCAACGTGTGTGCAAATACTCTTTTAACACTTTCTTTGATGTAAGTAAATAAAATGTTGAGAGGAGGGAGGCCAAAGGGCCACAATGGAGGTCTTGCCCCCACCCCTGCCCATGTGCTGCAGCCTGAACTGTCACTGTTTTGACAAGTGTGCAGGGAGCCTTCTGTGAGCCTGGCACACCTGGCTGCCAGGATCTGAGTGGTGGTTCCCTCTCTATGAGACTGCTGGGGGAAGACAGTCAGACAGACAGACAAATGGCACAGAGTGCAACACAGACCCTGTGGGGTTGCCTGTACGAGACCTAAGTGGAGAAAAGGGACAGAGTTTGCATGGGGGTGGTGAGCACATTCCTGCCAGAAGAAACAGGAAATGCAAACAAAAGGCTGGGGTGGGAAAAGGCTTCGGCTCTGTCATTAATAAGAAAGCTGCTGGATGTGACAGTGAGTGAGGAAGAGTGTTGAAGACAAAGAGAGAAAGCCTCAAGTGTGTACAGAAGGGTCTTAGGCGCTGGGATTTTACTCTGTGGACAGATACATGGAACACACAGTCTTCAGGGTTTCCACTCGGCCTCCTTTGCTGGAGTGGAAGCCTCAGGTGGAAGAGTTTGTTTTATTCACTCAGCACCTGTAGCAGTGCCTAGCACGTCATTAATGAACTACATGATATAATGAAATAAAGAAGCCTTGGAAAATTCTGAGTAGAGCTATGGCCTGAACTGAATTTTAAAACTTTTATTATAAGAAATAGGAGAACAAATTGCAGTTTGTTTTCAAAAAGTAGAGCGAACAGTGACCATCTTCCCTCCACATGTCCATCACCAGCCTCATCCATCCGTGGCCAATCTAGGCCCCCCTCCAACACACTCCTTGCTTCCATCACTTTTGAGTCCCACCATCAGATAGATCATTTCAGCCACATGTTTCAAACTGCACCTCTAGATGATAAGGACTATCTTAAAAACAGTCATGTTTTTGAACGTGCGGAGTGACTGGTCAGATCCTTTGGATAAACACCCGCTGTTTCTGCAGGTGACTGTGTGTTACTGGCTGTGGGTTTAGCACTCCACGAATAGCACCTGCCTTTGTTCTCTGCCGCTTACCTTTGTATGCAACGTGCCACCCACAGATCTTGTTAGAAATGTGGGTTTGGTTTTACTGGGCCTGCGGTGGGCCCAGAGTCTGCCCTGCTAACAAGGCCAAGGTGTTCTGCAGTGGGTCTGTGGACCACCTTTCAATAGCACAGTCCTGGTGTGTCATCTTGGGGTGTCTGTGCAGTGCCCACCTTCGCAGAAACTAGGTGCTTATAAATAATGTCCACACAGACACAGGAAGGGAAAGGAACCAGCCTTTTGGGGGGCACTAGAGTCACAGTGTTCTCTAAATAAAGGTTCCGTGGCAAAGAAATGCTCAAGGGGGAGGGAATTTACTATATTTATTATACTGTTCTATTTAGCTTGTATTTGGCAGAAATTTCCATTCATGTCAGGGTCAGCTGATAATCCTCCAAAGCCTTCCCATTAAGTTCCTCAGATGTTAGGAAGACTCACATGAAGATACTGAGAGCTGAATGGCCATGGGACGCCACTGAGTGAGCTTCCTCTGATCCAGGGTCCCCCCCCCCAGAATCTTACTATAAAACCCATGAGGGACACTCACGAATACCTCAGCAACCCAGGGAACCAGAGCATGGGAAATACTGCCCCAGGACTTTTAACAACAGGACCAAGCCCGTCCATGTGGCATTCTAGATGTCATTTTAAGCATATCCTCTCTCTCTCCAGCACCTGTTACTTTGTCCCTTGCCTTACAGTTAAATGTACCTGTCTCACTCCTTCAACAAGTGTGCATCCTTGCAAGACTTTCTTGCTCAGACACTACTCATACCATGTGGGATGGAGCCTGGGTGGCTACATGAGCAGACAGCCTGGCCTAAGAAGGAGGGACACCGCATTCTGGCCCACAGACGAGCGTCACAAACTGAGTCCTGCCTGCACATCAAGGGTCTGCCATAGTGTGACTTCATGGTCATCACCCTGACCATGAGAGGGGGCCAACGGGAGGATCTGTACCCTTCCTGCAGAACCCCTTGTCCTGCCTGCGGGGCAGTGACAAGTAATGACACAGGGAGGTGCTGCTCGAAGGCCCCCTCCCGTCGGACGGCAGCAGGAACGACACAGCCTCCTGTAACCACTCTTGACTCCTCTACCAGGAGCGTCAGCAGAGTACACAGGCAGGGCTACCTGCCTGAGGTCCAGCGGCTGGTGGAGGACACGAGATCCAGTTTGCCAAAGAGTTCCCACAGTCAACCCTGACAACAGGACTTCCCAGGTTTTGATGCCTTCAGGGCTCAGCTACTTTGTTGTTTGCCACCAGAGTTTCCCTTCCCAGAAGCCAGTAACCTGGATATGCATGTGTTCACTCCTGGTTTTGACATCTTGATGAGTAGTTCTTAATAACCAAATAGGTCAGCTGGAGGGACTAGGCCACCTCTGGTATGTGGGCTGGAAGTCTAATTCAGGCATGAGGTGGTGTACTTACCTCTGCCACATCGGCCAAGGACCTGGACACAAACGAGTCTCTTGAGTTTCCATCTAGCAGGCTGGGGCCCAGCAGGGAGGTGCCACTGTGGGTCCCCACGGGAGTTGGCAGCATCTTCCGGCCCTTATCCGAGGAGATGAAACTTGCTGCCAAGAGAAGGAGAAACAGTCCTGAGACTGGCTTGGTTAGTCCTAGGCCAAGAGAAGGACCCCTGGGGTGGAGGTGGCCTCACCAGGACCACACAGGCCTCTGCCTGCACACCGTGCTTTGTGTAGAGCCAGAGCTGCCCTGGTTTTTCTCAAGTATGGAGCCTTGGAAGGTCCCCAGAAGCACACTTAAGTTGGCCTCATATTTCCAGGGGCACTCGGTATTCCGCTCTCCAGTCACCACTCCCGCCTCCATATAAGGTGGCTTCCAAGTTTTCACAATTTGTACTTGACTTTGCAGCGGTCTGTACTGTTCTATGGGGCTCTGATATAACAAGAAACACTTATCGGGTGCTGGCTCCCTGAATGACCCAGCCCAGAGCCACATTCTGGGCCGTCGGGTGTGGCATCCACATAGGGTGCTGACTCCGTTCAACAGGAGTGTACAGTGCACTCCTCCCTGGGGCTGCAGTTCAACGGCCACGTGTGTGGACTGGCTGCTCTCTAAAAAGGCGAAGGGCATGGATCCGGGACATGTCTCGGCAGCCCCTCCTATGGAGGCCAGTGAGCCTCTCCCCAACATCCCCCTCCCATCACACCAACACCTGGGGCCCGGTGAGGATGAACGCACCCTGTGAATGCACCAAACTGTGCCTCAAGACAGTTGGACTGGCCACATCAGAATACTTTACTGAGAAAAGAAAGAGGGAGGCTAAGAGCATAAGAAGCCAATTTCTCCCTACTGTTGGCAGCAAGAACAGAAGACCCCGGGACAGCTGGCTGGGCTACAGAAGGGCACAGGGGACATGGACGTGTGCTACATCTCAACTGTGCTGTGGGTTACAAGGGTTTATATTTGCCAAAGCTCAGCAAACTGCACACTGAAGATACAGACATTCTCTCATATGTAAGTGGTGCAGAAAAAAATAAACCCTGGAAAAGAAGCAGACGGTCCTAGTGGGAGTTCTGCCAGACAGCAGAGAATCCAGATCCTAGTCCCCCCAGCACGTTCACCATGTGGAGCCCTGCTTGTCCCCTGCTAGTCTAGGACACACCCCTGGGCAGCCCCCACACTCACCAAACAAGCTGCTGAGGGATGAGTCCGTGGGGTCGCTGGGGCACCACTGGGGGTCATGGGTGGGTGAGGCAATCCAGTCTGGCTGGGGGCTGCTGGATGGGGAGGGGAGACTCTTGGAACTGTCACTGCCATTTAGTTTTGCTGGAGAAAGAGGGACTCCTTCACCTGTCAACCAAAATCCTGGGTCAGAGATGCCACGTGGGGCGAACAGCAATCCGTTTCCTCAACCTGCCACTAAGGCCCACTGAACTCTGGAGACCCAGGACGCTGCTAGGACCCCAAAAAAGGACGAATGAAACTGGTCTGTGAAGGGGATCCCCCCTCCAGCAGAAACACACATCCGTCCTAGGGAATGAAAATAGCCATAGCTATCACCGATGGAGTCAGGCCTTGGGCCCAGAGCTTCACCTAAACCCCCTCACAGGTGCTTACGGCAGCCCTGTGAAGTGCACACTATTCCCAGCTCACAAATGAGCCAATGACTGGCCCATAGCCACGCCCTGCCAGGCTGTGACCCCAACTCAATCTGAATCTATGGCCTGAATCATATCAGTAGATGCCAACCACACCACTATCAGGACATCAGACCAACCCTCTCCTGGAACATGCAAAACCCAAAGGCATCCACCCAGATTCATAACCAACTAGGACAACGCCCCATCTAATCTCTCCAGGCTGAAGAGGCCTCACTGGCCCAATAGTGGTCTCAAAGTCAAGAGGTGTCCCACCAGACCATAAACAGCCACAGGTCCGTTATGCAAAAGGAGAGTGGAATGGGAAAACATACCCAGCAGGTTTGGCAAATACTCAGATGGGAGGTCAAGGGCAAGCCCGTATCCCCTATCCTAATGCGGAGCTGATTCCAAGAGGGGTATGCAGAGGCATTACCATACTGGCCAGAGCTGATGGCAATCTCGATGATCGAGTCGCTGATCTGAGTGGCAGGCTCTCCCTGCGAGAGCACATCCTCAGGTGGGCCAGGCAGGGAGATATCCAGCAGAGCAGAAACATTAGGTGGAGAGAGCCGAGTGCTGGAGCCCTCTGCCAAGGGCGAGGTGGAAAGTCCATTGTGCAGAGGAGCCTTGGACAGCTCTGATAAGGAGAGGACAGGCGAACCCTGGTGGGAGATGGGGAACTGTTCAGACACAATCTATCCCTAATAAAAGAACAACCGAATCCACCTCAGCCCCACTTGGTGGTAAAGTGATGGGCAAGTCAACAGAGAAATGATGACCCTAGAAGGCAACTCTCCCTTTCCAGTAAGAAACACAGTGGGGGATTTACTTCTCTAGAGACCACTCTCAGGATGCAGGCCAGGCTGGCCTTGGCAAGGGTGCCCTGGTACTCTGGACCTGCTTCCCCCAATGGCAAGACAGCTGGTAACACCCAGGCAGAAGGTGAGTGCTGAGGAGTGCTACCAGCTGACAACTTCTTCCCCTTAGCTCAAGAAACTGGTCTTCCAGAACTGCGTCTCCATCAGCCATAGATGGCAAATGTGTGTTCTTCTATTTAGGCAATGGAAGGACAAAGCCACTGGGTGTCCATGTATCCCTGTCACATCCTGGCAGTCCACAGCAGAGATGCTAGGTCTGGTGGCAGGACCAGGAGGATAGGGGCTCAGCACTGGAGGGGGTTCCTGAGGTAGCTCTTTTGCTCACCAGCCACCAGCACACATTACCTGGAAATCGTCTGTCATTGGCTCCTGCTCAGGCCTTGGAGGGATGCTGATAAATGGATCGCTTGTACTCTACAAGAAAAGAACACACCATGAGTGTCAATGAGCCCCTACACACAGCCTGCCAGACCTCTGCCCAAAGGCTAGCGAGCCATTAAGCTCCTAAGAAAGAGCTGTCCCAGCTGTCCCTAAACCACCAGCAGCAGACCAACACATCGTGGTCTAGGTTAGAAACCTCTTCCTGTGTGGATAAGCAAGCCCACTGCTTCCAGAGGGTGGGCCGACAAGTTGCTTGCTGCACTTAAGGTTGAAAATTCAAAACCTCATAGTCCTCAGGCAGGGCTGGGCTGTGAAACCAGAGAAAGCTGAGGGCTGACAAAGGTGGAGAGGAGTGCCGGTCTGGGGCCACTAGGCCCAATGTTGGCCAGCTTGGTCCATGTTCCTTCTCAGGCCAAGCTGACACAAAAGTCTGCTGACATACAGTTCTTCCTTGTCTCAGTTCTGGATTCTCCAGTGTCACCCAGCACGCCTCTCACCACTCTGTCTCCTTCCATGGCTGTCTCCTCTGAGCCATGCGGCACTCATGCATGCCACACTCTCCCTGGTTTAGCAGCTCTCCTCCAGCCGTTCAGACCTGTCCCCTCCTGAGCTAGAACTGCAGTCCAGCATGACCCCAGTTCCATTATCTTGGCTCCTGTCCCTCTGGAGAGTGACCAGCCCATCCTGAAAGCCGGTGGTAACTCAGAGAAGCCCTTCTAAACACTCACCCCCACGGCAGGGATGGGGTCTCCATTTTGGTGGGTGCCAGTGGAGTTGTGACCCGAGAGGGTAGCTGTCGTCTCATCTGCAGACAGTGGAGAGATGCCAGACAAGCCCTCGGCATCCAAGACGGGGAGGGGGCTCCCAGGGATAATGCCAGCACTTGTAGCTGCTAAGTCAACAGCACCTGGCAACAGAAAAGACATTGCCAACCCAAGCTCTACTGACACCCCAAGCACGCTCCACAGGGCTCACGGGAACAGCTTCTGCCTCATGCTGCACTCTGACGAGCAAGGGCAGTGACTTTCCTGTTTTCTCTGGGGGGCACTAAGACAGCACGGCTTGGGGAAGAAGAAAACAGAAACATCACTCAGAACCCTCAGTTGTGTCTGTCTCCATGCTGGTCACAAAAACTTACTGGCCAGGTGGCCTGTGGCCTGGGGCGGAAGGACCTTGGGCATGATTGGCCGGGACAGAGCTGCTTTGGTCAGGGAGGACTGGATGGGCCGGAATGATCCTCTCCCTGTGAGAACAAGAAGAGAAAGCGGCCGCATTGAGCCCATTTGCCCCCCGAGCACGGTGGGAGCTACCGAGTTTGCTTTACAGCCAGTGGGGACCACGGAAGCTGAGCTGAGGTGGAAACCACACTGAACATTGCAAATATGTGCTAACGAAGAAGTCAGAGGTCAAACATGCCCACACTGAGGAGAAAACTCTGGCATCCATGAAGGCGGCACCACTGTGCCCTTGGGGGATAACGTCAGTCAGCACTGTCATCCCCTGGTGAGGGCCCTTTAAGGGTAAGGCACACCTGAGCTAACCTACAAGCTCCTCTGAGGAAGTGAGAACATCAAATATTGGACTCAGATTCTGCCTTTTCAATTGGACTCTTTTCTACTAGGCTTTCTGCAGATAAAAAGGAGGAGTGAGAAAAACCAATCAACAGCTGTCTGGGTCTAGTAGTTACGTAAATCTGAACTGTCAGAATCAAGACTGAGACCTGACTGATGTGGCTCAGTGGGTTGGACATTATTCTGCAGACCGCAAGGTCACCTGTTCGATTTGCGGTCAGGGCACATCCCCGGGTTGTGGGCCAGGTCACCATGGGGGTGGGAGCGGTGGGGGGAGGTGTGCATGGGAGAGGCCACAGGTAGATGTTTTTCTTCCTCCCTCCCTTTCCTTCTCTCCTTTCCCTCTTTCTAAAAGGAAAAAAATCTTAAAAAAAAATCAAGATTGATTCAAAAGCTGAATCACAGAGTATGTGTTTCTCTAAAAAATTCTCACTGAAGTAAGAAAATTTACTTCAAAGAGCCAGGGCAGTCAGTGACCTTAGGGACCTAAGGAAGGCCGAAGTCATACACCCCAAGGTCACTTCTATTCCAAAGAACAAAACAAACAAACAAAAAGCCTGACATGACTTCAGAAAGAGGGTACAGTACTAAGCAAAGCGTTCCTGAAAGGGCCACCTAAGCCCACCTATGGAGGAAGCTGCCTGGGCACCACCTCTCAGAGGTCCGCGTCTGCCTGCACTGCAGCCTGGCCCAGCAGAGAGGCACACTCCATGTCTGCAGACAGGCTGCATGGGGGGATGCTGGAAATGCACTCCAAGAGCTGGGAAAGCAAATGCCTGCCATTCCCAAAGACGAGGCCACATGCGAGTGAGGTGGAGTGAAAAGCCAACCCCAGTAGCCCCAGTGCTTACCAGTTATGGAGGAATTTGACATGATAGAGAAGGAGCAGACATTGTGGGACTGGTTTTCAGATGGTCTAGGAAGCAGGGTTCTCTGTGGAGGGAAAACTGCCAACAATCAGGTGACAAGAAAAACCCCAACACCAAATATCACTCAGGGAACCAGGGAAGAGTTATAAATGGATATTCCGGTTAAAGGCAAGCTGAGCGTGACCAGATGGTTCTGGTCCCAGAGCTAATGACACAAAGGCGCCGGAAGAAGTCTGAGGACGATCATACCCTATGGACACAGAGCCCTGAACACTGCGTCCTCTCTGAATCCCAGAGATCAAACCTTCCCCTGGGGAAACTGGAGAAATGTCAGAGCCATCCACTGTTAATCCAGAACGTTCTCCTGGACTTGGCTGGAATGCAACTAGTCATATACATCTCTTTATAAATGCTCAATGTGGACTGTTACAAAAGACACCCTCCTCCTCAAATTTAGGGTGAAGAAAATAAAGTTGCTGGCTGTAACACAGACAGGCTAAGGGCCTGAGGCCCTCCACCCCACCCCGGTGCTCACCCCTGCCTATCTGCCCAGGGCTTCTGTGTGTGAATAATGAAGTTCCAATGTGACAAATGCCATCTAAAGAAATATTAAGTGCTGAAATGGTTGCTCTTTAAAGTAAAACATTAACAGAAAGTATCTGTCAACCCAAAAGTGTCCCAAGGACCTCCAGCTCTGGGGGCACAGCTGCCTCTCTGCTGACACACAAAGGACATCTCTATGCCCCCCAGAGGTGTGCCAAAGTGTTGGCAAAGTGTGAAGGGAGTGCTCCTGGGGCTGCAAACTCGACAGGGCCATCAGACCTGCTCGGCGCTGTGAGGTGGGAGGGGCAAGCTGTTAAAAAGACGGGGAGCCAAAGACGTGCCTGCTCTGCTCCAAATGCCCTTTCTGTTCAAGAGTCAGCTACAGTCTGCACACACACACGGAAACACCTGGGATTCAGAATACATCTTCCCTCCGGAGACCCACCATGCAATCTTTCATTTCTAAATAAATTAATCTCAGGAGATTTCTAAGAGTCTAACAAAGGAGATCCAAGCATTAATCCCAAAACAATGAATACTGATCACTTTCTTGATCCACAGTCATTTCAGAATTCCAGCTTCACCTCTTTTATCTTTCTACCTCCAAATAAAGCTGCCCTCTTTCTCACATGCAGCTTATTCCTGGAAATCCTGTCTGGTCTGCACATGTCACCTGCAGGTCCCCTCGTGGTCATTATGAACACTGATGTGATTTGGTCTCTGACCAATCCATAAACCTTGCCGACCACTTCCACTGAAGCAGTTTTTATAAAGAGATGTTCTGAAAGCCCTCAAATACGTACTAATCTGGAACGCTCTTGACATTTGAATCCCCAGAACTTTATCTTTTTTGCAAGTAGTTTTCATGTCGTGCAAAGATTATCTTTAATTTCAGATGTAGTTAGGGGCACTGTTATTACTTCATTTATCCTATTTAGAAAAAGGAAGAAAGGGAAAGGGACTCCCCACTTCAGGTGAACACTGAGGCACAGGAGAAACACAGTGTGTCTGGCCGCTTGGCCAGTGGAAGCCGTGCACACCCGACTAGGGTTCCTGACCTGGACCACCAGTGGCTTCCGAAGGTGCCGGTTCTGCAATTTCCGGGGCTTTGGCAAGAAGAAATCCGACTGCATCTGTGAGGAAAAGAGTGCCCAATCCCTGAGAGTGTTTTCACAGCAAACTCGGGGCAGCAAGCAAGCGCAGGGTGAAGTCCTCGCACTTACGCTGATGGAGTTCAGATGCTGAAGGAAAGTCAATTCTGTCTCTTTATTGGGAGAGAAGAGCTTCCCGTGTCGGCTGTTGGGTGGCAAAGTTGTTGGGACAGCAAAAAGGCCACCATCTGAGTCACTGCTTCCTGTACTGGAGGGACCAGCCACCAAGAGGGGTCTTGGAGGGTTTCTCAAACCTAGAAAAAGAGAAGGGGAAGTGAACACAGCTATAGTCTCCTAGAAACATCTTCACTGTGAATAGAGTTCTACTGGGAAGAAAATCAGAAAGAATCCCTGACAACCTGTTCAGTGAAAGAAATTCCCTATATCTTAGTCCCATAAAACCTACTTTTCCATTTTCCTGAAATTCTAGTTTCCATGGTGAGATCATAGCTCTCGCCCGACAGGATGAAGGCACTTTCCCACCCTGATTGATCCTCAGTGGGATGGGTAGCTAGGCCTTCATTTTCCAGAGCTAGAGGAACTACCAGAACATCTGGTGTAGATCAGAGGTCAGCAAACTCCCTTTAAAGGGCCAGATAATATATGTTGCTTTGTGGGCTTACACGACATCCTCTGCTAAACTCAGCTCTGTAGCACAAAACTGTAAACTGTAGCACAAAAGCAGCTACAGACAACATGTGTATGCACCAGAGAACACAGCTATGTGCCAAGAAAACTTTATTTACAACCAGTAGGCTGTGGGCCATAGTTGCTGATGTATGGTCTAGATCTCTAATTACATAACACAGACTCAGAGACAGAAGGACAGAAAATATTTATTGAGGAACCATTGTTCTGGGACTCTACACACTGTTTTTATTATTGCAGATGCTGCTACAAAGCACCCTTGATTCATGGTAAACTGGGTCTCTTATTATTATTTGCAAACCTGTGAGTTTATACACAGACACTCATGGCATCCAGAGACTAGGTCTTTTAAGCACTAGCCTGGATTCTAGCACTGCAGGTGCACTAGTCTAGAAGCATCCTCAATTCAGAAAGAGGATGGATACTAAAGTGTATATGGGCCCTGGCTGGTGTGGCTCAGTGGACTGAGCACCAGCCTGTGAAACAAAAGGTCACCAGTTCAATTCCCAGTCAGGGCACATGCCTGGGTTGTGGGCCAGGTCCCCAGTGGGGGGTGTGGTAGAGGCAACCACACATTGATGTTTCCATCTTTCTCCCTCCCTTCCCCTCTCTAAAAAAGTATATAATAAAACATTGAAAAAAAAAAGAGTATATGGAATTACAAAATTTTAACAACAGAAAGACTACATAAATAGTCCTACCCTCAGGTACCATGCCTCTATTTTCGGGAACAACCGATTCACAGGTGCTGCTGCCTTCCTCAGGAGCAGTACACGGAAACAGGATAAAGGCGAGGAGAAACAAAAACAGGACATGCAAGAGACGCTGAACCAGACACTGAAGCAGCCCGGTTTTCTCGAGGGCCCCTAGGAAGTGCTCTCAAGGAAACAGAACCTTCGAACACCGAACAGGCAGGCTATTTGCAACACGGCACATTAGAGAAGACAAAAAGCTAGTGACACTGTCTGAATGAAAAATAACCCTAGAGCAACGGTTTCTAACCACGCCACAACAATTTTGAAACGTGCAATACCTGACTATTTAGTCAGGGGCACTGACTTCTTTTCCCTTAAATTGTCAAATAAAAAAATGGCAACAGCCAACTCAACAACAGCCATCTGGTGTGAGTGAATCAAAATTATACCTATTTTTTTGTTGGATTGGCAAAAATCTTTTTTGCTGTGTTGCAAAATTTTAGTAAATAGTTTGTGTGCTATGAGATGAGAAAGGCTGAAAATCACTGCCCTAGAGAATGTCAACACAACAGAACACTAGATCTCTTCAGCCAGAAAGTTTCTGCAGGCTTTAGGGCACCCGACTGGATCAGAGCAAGAGCAGAGGCAGGACCAGCTTGCCTCTTGCATGGTGCACCATACAGCAGTTAGCACTGCAGGCAGCCTGGCCAGTGTGAATGTTCTAGATGTCCAGGACGGCCAAGGTGTGGTGGCAAGAAAGTCTGCCTCTGGGAGCAATTATGACACTCTTCATGCCTAACGTGGAAGTCTGCTGGGTCACAGGACATGGAGGAATGTGCCAGCCCTCAGCCCCTGATGTCCCTGCATCCCCAGACATCCCACCTCATCAGGTCAGTCTCAGAAACAGTTACAAGACTTCGGTGAGTGAAGGGAAGGAGGCGGGCTTAGGCACACTCAGTGTAGACTTACGCCAGGGGCACAAAAGGCAGGGCCGCAGGGCACATGCATGTTTTTTCTATCTTTAAAATCAACAATTCCAGCCATAATTAATCTGTTTTACTAAATACTAAGCAAAGAAAACTGATGCCTCAGGGGAAACAAGTCATGTTGATCCTGGGTTTACATACCCAGTAACCCAATTAAGGACCCTAAATTTAAGTGTCTCCTGGATAGCCCTAACTGGTGTGGCTCAGTGGGTTGGGCACCGTTCTGCAAACGAAAAGGTCACTGGTTCAGTTCCTGGTCAGGGCACATTCCTGGATTGTAGGCCAGGTTCCCAGTCAGGGGGCGTGTGAGAAGCACCAGATTGATGTTTGTCTTGCACATCAATGTTTCTCTCCTTTTCCTTTTCTCCCTCCCTTCCCATGTCTAAAAATGAAGAAATGGGCATGGACCAGCACTGGCCATAGAGCCTCCATGAGTCGGCCCAGCCCTGGGCTCCATGCTGCACAAGTACTGACCTAGAGCCACAACTGAAGCTACAAGGTGGCTGATCAGGATCCTGGGGGTATTAGCTCCGTCCAATGAATAGCGACCTTGGGTGCTGGGGCTGTGGTCACCTCTCTTCATGACCCCAATGGACGTGGTGGAGGTTGGCCTGCAGTCTCAACGCCCCTCAGTGGCCACCGAGCTGATGCCTACCACCAGACTCTGGAGACCCTCGTGTGCCAAAGGGAAGTGCCTCTTGTACTGCAATGGTGTCCTGGAGCCCCTGTATCTGTGCCCAAATGGTGCCTGCCATGCCACCTGGTTTCAGGGCCCCGCTCGCTTCACTGACACCATGGATGCCTTTGTGAAAACTATGGGACATGAGGGCACCAGGACCTTGTGGAGTGGCCTCCCTCCCACCCACCCTGGTGCTGACTGTGCCAGCCACTGCCATCTACTTCACTGCCTACTACCAACTCAAGGCTTTCCTGCGTAGTTGAGCCCTGACCTCTTACTTCTATGCACCCATGCTGGCTGGTACTCTGGCCCCCTTGGGCACTGTGACTGTGATCAGCCCCCTAGAGCTGGTATGGACAAAGCTGCAGGTTCAGCATGTGTCATACTGGGAGTTGGGTGTCTATGTCCGAGCCGCCATAGCTCAGGGCAGCTGGCGCTCACTGTGGCCGGGCTGGGGGCCCCATGGTTCTTCGGGATGTACTCTTTTTAGCCTTGTATTGGTTCCACTAAGAGCTGTTGAAGAGCTGGCTGAGTGGGCTCAGGCCAAAGGACCAGATGTCACTAGGTATCAGCTTTGTGGCTGGAGGCATCTCAGGGACAGTGGCAGCCATCCTGACTCTACCCTTCAATGTGGTGAAGACAACACTAGGCTGTGCTGGGAGTGGTGGAGGCAGTGAGAGTGTCACCCCTGCACACTGACTGACCTGGCTGCTGCTACAGAGGATCTGGGCTGAGTCTGGCACCAGGGGACTCTTTGTAGGCTTTCTCCCAAAGATCATCAAGGCTGCCCCACCCTGTGCCACCATGATCAGTGCGTGTGAGTTGGGCAAAAGCTTCTTTCAGAGGCTCAACCTGGAATAGTCTTTGGGCCAGTGAAAGAAGCAAGGGAATGTGGGTCCCATCTCTTCTATGGGTGGGGCGGGGCAGGAGGAGACTGAGCCAGGTGCCTTGTCCTTGGGAGAGGGGCCTCATTTTTCTTCCCTCTCAACTCTGAGTCCCAGGGTTTGTGCCTCACCCCTTTGGGCACACCCATACCCCCCTCAGACAGCTTTCTTCCTGCTGGTCCTCATCCCAAGCCCCAAGGATCATCACTTTTCCACCCTCACATTTCAAGTTCAAGGCCAAATCAGTTAACTGCTCCCCTCTACCCCCTTGTCCATTTCCCTGTGTGTTTGTTGTAACTGGGCCTGCCCCTGATAATTACTTGAGTATAAAGATGAAAAAATAAATAAAATTTAACAAATAAATAAATACCTCCCAGATGTGCAACTGGGGCAAAGAAACCCAGTGGACTGGCAGGTCAGACTCTTTCCAAGGCTTGTGTTGTACTGCTGGGAAGTCTTTGAACTTAGTCACCTTAGTCACCTCTTTTATTTTTAAAAGATATTTTAAAATTTATTTTTAGAGAAGGGGAGAGAGGGAGAATGAGAGGGAAAGAAACATTGATGTGTGAGACAAACATCAAATGGCTGCCTCTTGATCAGTTGCCTTTCCCACACCCCCAGCCAGGGACCAGGCCAGCAACCCAGGCATGTGTCCTGACCAGACCTGAACCAGCGACCTTTCGTTTCATGGGACAATGCTCAATCCACTGAGCCATGCCTGTCAGGGCTACTCTAATATTTTAGATGTAAAGAAAAATATTCTCTATAAGATTCAGAAAGAACCAAACCTTCTCTTTAAGGCAACTTAGCATGTTATGAAGGCTTCTGCTGATCTCACAGAGCACAATCCCCCAAAAGTGAACAAACTGGCAAGAGCTACCCCATGTTTCTCACTGGCTTCTGCACCGGAGAACCCCAAAGCCCTTGGTGACGGGCCTGCATTCACCCTCCCCTTGAGGAGGTGGCAATTTCTGTCATCTTAACCTCTCTCACTAGAGTGTGACTGAGCGGGGCCAGGCCTCAGGCGTCCCTGTGCTTTCAGCTCTGGAATAGCTCCCACGCCTAGCAGGGTGCCCAGGACGGTGGGATCTGGGTGAAAGGGGCTGCCAAACCTCACCTGAGGAGGGACAAGGCGCAGAGCTGGGAGAGAAGGTCTTGCTGCTGCGAAGGGCAGACTGGTTTCGAGGGCAGCGGGGGCTCCGGGAGCTGATGTTCACCACTTTCCCGGGGGGAGTTGTCAACTGCTCCTCCTGGGCAGGCCTCACTGAGGCCATAGAGCTGGCATTCGATTCCGGAGCCTAGGACAGAAAAAGGCCGAAACAAGGGCCAACTCAGCCTGTGAACAGTGGTTCTGGGAATCCGTGCCCAGGAGCAGAAGGCGCAAGAATTCCCTGAGTTTAGAGGGAGACCACACTTCCATGATGGCACAGGTCAGTATCCCTGGGTAATTCAGCAATGCCAGTGGTCAAAATCACCAGTTGGGTAGGTATTTAGGGGCCCACACCTCCTCCTGTACCCCACACCTCCTCCATCCTGTACCTTCCATGGCTCTTCTTCAGCCCCCAGGCCTGACTTCCTTTTTCCTTTCCATGGGACTGTCTCCCCCGGCCCCACCCCCCGCCTACATTGCTGCGTAGCTTATTCAGTTTCACTATTCAATTGCCTGAGTGCCCAGCCAGCCTCCTGTCAGCATCCTGACATCCCAGGGAACTTGCTTGTCAGTGTGCTCCACCCAGACCTCAGCAGGAGGGAGACCACAAGGCTAGGCCACCCATTTCTCATTCAAGGTCCCGATTCTCTGCCGAGGCCTTTGGTCAGCGGTTCTCACCCCTGAGCTGCATCAGAATCACCTGATAGAGGGTGTCAAAACATGGTCTGTGGGACCCCAAAACCTGCATCTTTCACAAGTCCCCAGGTGATGCTGAGGCTATTGCCAGGGAACCTACTTTAGAAACCACGGCTCTGAGCACCCTGCTTTGCCTTCTTGGCAATAATATTTCCAACTTGCTCCATTCTCCCCTTTAGTTGAGGCCAAGGCCACTACCTCAGCTGTGCTGCTTCTAGCTTTCACAGGGGCCAAGCTAGCTTATCCTCCTTCCCTAGGGTACAGAACATACTCACGTGTCCCCCAATCTCCTTTCCTGACCCTTCCAAACGACAAACTTGAAAGTTTTTTAAACACATCATTTCTGTCCTGTCACCCTATTACCCTATTATTGCCCATGCTTGCCCGAGGGTCACCTCCACACTGCCAAATACGAAGGCCATAGCTCACCCTCAGGCCTTGCCTTACCAGTCTCTATAGCGTCCAGCCAGTCCCCACCCACGCCCGCAAGGGCCACCTCTCATGAGGCCCTGGTTCGCTTTACCACTGCTCTCCTGACAGCCTCTGTGCAAGCACTGTGCAGAGGCACAACTGAGAAAACAGGCACCTGGTAGGAGAGCCACACTGGAAATTAAGACAGAACAGCAAGTTCACAAATTGAGTGTCTGCTCAAGAAAAGTGGAGGTGTAACGTGTGTTCCAAGGCACCCCTCGCACTTGGCTCTGACGTGAATTAGCACTCAGGGGTGCACAGTGAGCCCGTAGTCCTCATCTGTCCCCCAAACCACCGCTACCAGCTCCCTCAGCTGCTCCTCCTAGAAACTATGAGCCTCGTCTTCTAAATATCACATAGACACTGCCATCTCGGGAACAACTGGCCTCAAGACTCCGTTTGCTTGTGTCTAAGAGAGTCTACGAGACTTTCCCACCAGTGAAAATCTCTGCCCCATATGCAGCTCCTCTAATTGGCCACCCCAGGGAGGGGACCATAAACTGTGGTCTGTGTGGCAGGACTGCTCATTCCATGGGCCATCACAGCTGCTCCCTGGGCTCGGGGACCACCCACACACCATGGATCCTGCTGAGGAGCCCTAAACTACTTCAACTGGCCCTCTCTTGGACAGCTACCCATGGAGGTCCATCTTCAGGTCTCCTAAGTGGGCCCCACACAGCTGAGCTCCACAGGGTGCAGCCCACAGCCCCAGCTTCCTATTTGTTCCCTCCCTCCATCGAGGCATGCCACCACTGCCCTCCCCAGGAGAATCATTCTAAAGCACAAACTTGACCTTGTCACTACTCTGATGAAACCTGCAGTACTCCTGACACTTAGATAAAGCCTGACCTGGCTCAGTTCCTGGCTGAATTTGCCACCTCACCTCTGTACACTGTCCCCTTGGCTCAGGGCTCAGCAGAATCACTGGAGCCTGACAAGATCTAATAGGCATGGCCTGTTGGTCACTGTCCTCTTTGGAACCCTGTGTGAGCCTGGAAGAAAAGGGCTTTTGCCTGGCAAGGAGCCAAAGCCTTGACCCGTGTTCCGCACAACCCTGCTCTACAGAATGAAACACAGCCCGTGAGAACCTCCGCCTCTTTGGTCACAGAAGTCCTTGCCTCCTTCCCTTCTCTGAGCAGCCTGCAGGACTCCCGGCCACGTGCTACGGGGTTATGTCCAACCCTTACTCACCAGCCTGGGGTTGACTTCAGTGGAGATGAGCTTCAGGAGGCAACTGAGGAGGCGCTGCTTATGGAAGGAGGCAGGCGGGGAGCCACTGGGGGCCTGGCCCTGGGGACCCAGCACAGCCAGCCAGTCGTACTCCAGCTGCAGCTTGCTTGGCTTTCCCATCATGAGGTAGACTTCGGCCAGTGTCAGGCTCTCGGAGGTCTGCAGGTTCCAGCCCTCCTCTCGGAGCTGCTGGGCCAGGCGGCTGGGAGGGATGTCCTTCAGGGGCTTAACAGAAGGCTGTCCCTGAAGTGGCGGGGGGTCCAAGGGGCTTGCCTTCTCCTGGGGTTCCTCTGAAGGAGCATCTACTGAGTCTTTAGTGCAAACATCTGGCTGAGGCGCTGGGCTGGGCTGAGGCTCCAGGCCAGGAAGGCTGCGGACGGGGGATGGTGCTCTGGCCCGGGCAAGGTCAGCCGCCTCTGCGCTGCTAGGAGTGTGAATCTCTGGGGAAACGCATGCTGAGGGCTGAGAGTCTACGCAGTGGCATGGCTCAGGGATGATGAGGTCCTGGCAGGACTTCATGTAGCGGGGGAAGGGGTCCAGGAGAGAGAGCTCATCCTCCAGCTCTGGGAGCTGGCCACAGGCACATATCACAGCCCCGGGCTCTTGGACTGGGCCGTCTCCGCCCTCTACAGGAGCTGCCATAGGAGTCTTCTCAAGCCGTACCCCAGTGTCTTGGAGCCCAGGGGGAAGCCTGTCGGGAGCATTCGGGCTACTGAGGCTTAGGGCAGCCCCCTCCCCAGGGGCACTTTCAGGGGAACTCTCTCCAGAGCTCTGGGAAGCGTCTGTGGCAGGAGGAGGCCGCCCCCCACCCTTGCCTTCAGTGCCACCCCTTGGGTACTTCACCTGGCCCCTGGCTGTACCCTGCCCACTCTGGATGCCCAGGATCTGGGCTGGAGGCAGCGTGTGGGTATCCTTGGAGCTCTGCTTACACCGGCCACCTTCCTGCCAGTGCACAGTGCAGAAGGCCTTGGAGTGCACCACACGAGCCACTCCTGGAAGCGGGGTCAGTGTACAGTTCTCTCCCGGGAACAGGTGCAGCACCACTTTCTCCTGTGATGACTCCACAAACGAATCCTGTAGCTGCCGCTCCGCAAGCGTCTTTCGCTGAGTACACTGTTAAGGAACCATGTGCAGCAGCACACTGGCCCCTGGGTATCACAGGGCCTTGGGGAAAACATGACTCAGGCATTTCCTTCTCTAGGAACTTCATGCCTAACACATGCTGTCCAGGCTGGGGACTGGGCAGGGCTGTGAGCTGGCTAATGAGGAGGGGAAGTCTGGAGCTATCCTTGTCCACTTTGATCAACCTGCTTACAGGAATGCTTGGGCCACACTCCACGGGCCAGACGGTGGCTACTCACCACATGGAGGGCTGCTGTGACAGAGCTTTGACACTGCAAGGTCCAAAAGGAGGTTCATACCCCAAACCCAGAGGACAAGGGGCTGTGGGTTTTGGTTCCGGTTCTACACTATCTCATGGCATAGCTGCTATACCACACAGGGACCCAATATAAACCTGGGAGTGAGAGGCAGGGTACCATTCTAGGCAGTAGATGCTGAGGAATTTGGGCGGTGGGGATGGGTGCTGCTTTATGTAGGAAAAAGATACAATTCGCACTTCATGGAGCTCCCACTTCTGCTTTAAGAATTCAATGAGGCTGGAGACCTTCCGATGGAGTTCCACAATCATCCTATAGGAAACAACAGACGGGAAGAGGAAGGCTGTTACCACAGATAGAACCTTCTGTAGAGCCGCAGAGACTGCTGGCAGCAAGACAATCCCATAAAGAGTAAAGGCATCTAGGAAGGGCACTGAGGAGGGGCCAGAGCCACAATGTTTCAGAAGAGACACCAACTCCTTTAAAAAAAAATTTATTTCTACTTAATTTCTTTAAAAAAAAAAACAAAAAAACAAAACAAAACAAAAAACTCAATTATGCCATTACAGTTGTCCCAATTTTTCCCTCTTTGCCCCGCTCTGCCCAGTACCCCCATTCCCTCTAGCAATCTCTCCCCTTAGTTTATGTCCATGGGTTGCGCATATAAGTTCTCTGGCTTCTCCATTTCCTATACTATTCGTATCACCCCCTTGTCTGTTTTCTACATACCAATTTGTGCTTCTTAATCCTTGCACTCCCCCCCACCCATTCTCCCTCCTGTCCCTTCCAGCTGGTAACCCTCCAAATGATCTCCATATCTATGATTCTGTTTTTGTTTTGTTTGTTTTTTTTTAGATTCAGTTGTTAATAGATGTGAATTTGTTATCATTTTAACGTTCATAGTTTTGATACCTTTTCTTAAAAATCAGTCTTTTATATTGAAGTAACTGGAGACTCACATGAAGCTGCAGAGACTTGTGTATCCTTTACAGTGCAAGATCTCACCACAGACCTTGGCACAACCCACCAACCTATTCTATTAGGCGCCTCTTGAGTTCAAGAAAGGGGGTGTGGCCAGCCTTAATCCCAAGAATATAAAAATACATAAGGAAGGAATGAAGTATGGACACACTACAACATGGATGAACCTCAAAAACGCGACGCTCAGTGAGAGTCAGACAGGAAGGACCACAGTATGAGACTCCACTGATGTGGACTGTCCAGAACAGCCAAACCTACAGAGACAGAAGGTAGACTAGTCGTTGCCGGAAGCCAGGCACTAGAAGCAGGGGATAGGAAGGAACTATTTAGTGGGTACAAGGTTTCCTTTTGGAGTGATAAAAATGTTCTGGAACTAGATGGAAGTTATACAAAACTGTAAAAGTACTCAAATGTCCTGAATTGGGACACCTTAAAAGGGTAACAGTTAATTCTATGTTACATGACTTTTACCTCAACCTTTAAAAAGAAAAAAAAAATTGTAATTGCAAAATAGTCTGTGCCCAGAATGGTGCCCTACCCATATATCAGACACAAATCTTTAGGGAAATAGAAACAGAAATGGTCTTAGGGGGGAACGATGAGGAAAGATTCTATAGCCATCAACCTGCTAACCATGACATCTTTCTACATCCAGCTCTCTTGGCCCACAAAACCCATATTGCCAGAACCCCAGAACGGTGCACCACCCCCACACACCACCCCCATGTAACTCTGGAGCAATGGGGAAAATCTGCTCACCCAGGGGTCCACAAGGGACCCCAAACACCTTCCTTTGGCCCCATCCTTTGCAGCTGGCTCCCCATCAAATGCAAAAGGCAGTTACCTGAGCCTGGGGTTTTGGGCTAGGCTCTGCACGCGGGCCCAGGCATGATTGTTCCTCGGCTGCAGCTCTACAGGGACTCTCAGGGGCAGACGCACTGGCTTCTGGTCCTCTTCATCACTCAAGCCTGCGACAGAAAGGGGCCTTGAGAGCTTGATAGACAGGTCTCCACACAGAAGTCAAAGCGCTTGGCCAGACAACTCAAGGTCAGGGAGGAGCCATGGGCAAACAGCCTGGGAGGGAAAGCAGAGCTGGCAGAGAAGCCCACGAGGACCTGTATCTAGAGAAGCACCAATGTGGCCACTAGGGTACCTGCTAAGCCAGAACCACACTGGGCTACACAAGGCCGTAAGACTCGCTCCTGACACCGATGACACCCCATGTGAATGCTGCTGTGGCTTCTGAGCTGACCTTGATTTACTGAGTGGACATACTAGGAAGGTTCAGGCAGAGCTTGACCTGTCCATTGCTAAATGCAACAGTACTGAACACCTCCCCGACCCTACCCCAGAGCACCTTCTACATACCGTCTGGGTCACAGAGTTTCTTCAGGGCTCGGCACATGGGTGCTTTTATCCGTAGGTTTCTCCCTTTGTAACGTACAGTGGTGGCCCTGGGAAAGAGTTTTAAAGAAGTGCTGAGACCTCTAAATGAACAGTAGCTCCCTGCCCAGCGCAGGAAGGAAAGGGCCAGCATGTCAGTACACACAGAACTCAGCAGGTGAGGACTCTGGCAGGGCACCCATCCTGGCTTTGCTAGGCCCCACGACTCCGGATTTCCCAATACTCTTCCAATCACACCTCACACCACAAAGGGGCTGACTGCCCTTCACGGGAAATGTGCTCTGCCTCCTGCTGGGTGAGCAGTGTGGCCTCAGCTGCGGTCCCACAACAATGGAGCTCCTGTCAGACAGACACCAGCTGGTGTGCCCCTCGCTCCTACTCCTTAGAGTCCCTTGAGAGGTTTCAACCCAACTTTATGTGAATCTCAACCCAGCTCTAGGTGCCCGCACTTCACATTAGCAATGTCCCCCAGTTGCTCATATAACTGCACTATGTGGGCTTGGGGACACAGGGCATCCTAAGTTGGTGCTCCCTGCAGGTGAGCTTCAGGCAGGCCCAGAGTCAGCAAGATCTGCCCCAAGTCTGTCTGTTATAGCTGTTGGTGACACTCTGTCTGGCAGTAACCTATATATTAGAATTAAAGAAATACTATAAATGAGTACAAACACCACAATAATAGTTCCTTCTAAAACTACACTTGAAATGCTTTGGAAATACTCAATAAGGTAATTTAAAAAAATGACAGTCACGTTAAGTGTGGGCAAGACAACTACGAAAGACTAAGGATGACCTGGAAGCATTCTGCACCCCCACTGCTGTGGGTCTCTGTGCTCTCGTTCTACTTGAAAATGGTAAGTTGCAAATGATGCATCTTGGCTAGAGTTTCTAAGATAAAAACAACACAGAACTCTGAGGATAAACCCCACACAAAAGGCCTTGGCCAGCCACCCAGTGGTTGGTAAACAACTGTAGGTTTGTGTTCATAAAAGATTTAAAGTCCTTGTATATTGTTTTTACAATTCTGTTTTAACAAAGTTTTTAAATTATCCAACTCCCAGCTGTGAAACCTGGAGGACCCCAGGAAGCCAGCTCTCCCCATTCTGTCAGGAGGAGAGATTCAGAGAGGATAACAGTCCATGTGAATAAGCACCATGATCCACTGAGACCAAATGCTGTATCTCCCGTGGGTTCAGCCACCTGGAACCCCCGGGAGATCCAGGCCTGCAAAGTGCTACCATGGCGGTGTGAATGCAAACCATCGGGGAGGGAGCAGGGGAGGTTGCAGGGGAGGCTGCAGGGGAGGGTTTTAAAAGAGTGGTAATTAAGTACCAAGCAGATTCTTAAGTAACTTCCTCCAATAAAGGGCTCTGGGGACAAGTGGACTTTTCTGCCCATCATCACTTTTTGTTGCATCCGCACCCCAAATAAAACAAAACAGTAGCAGGCAAGACTTAAAGAGCAGGTGGCGCTGTGTCATGTAGCACCTGTGTTCGAGATCATCATATTTTCCGTTAAACTGCTACTTTGTGACTTCCTTTTTTTTTAAAAGTGAAATTGAGTAGTCCTCATTTTATGACTAGATTCCATCCTGAGAATACAATCCCTTTTCTTTTCTCTCAAATGGAAGTTCTATAAGCAGCCTGAGGCTCAAGCCTATACAAGGTAGAGTCATGATCAAGCTCACACAGAAAAGGCCCCTCAGGCCTGACCTTGGTCCCAGGACATAGTCTGTACTCCCCACCCTCACAGACCAGCCGCACAGCTGACAGGCAGAGGACACTACTATAGGCCTGGGCTTCCCCAGGGCACAGGTGGTTAAGATTCTTCTGTCAGCAGAAGAATCACAGCTTGATCTCTGATGGAATGTAAGGACACAGAGGGTTCTATCTGAGCCCCTGCAATTGAGTGTTACTTTCACAAAACAAGCAACATAGTAATTCCTCTATGTGCATGGGCGTCTGGCTTTCCTTTCTCAGAGACTGATTTTCTTCTCTGCAAAGTTGTTTAATAAATCCAGTAAGTCTGTAACTGGGTCTATAGCCAATGTAATAAGATTTAATTTGGGAGCTTTTCTCAATTCATTTACTCCTTTATCTAATTCTATACTTTTATGACAAAAGGAGATTCACCGTTAATTTAAAAGGATCTGCATGAGAAGCACAGATAGGAAGTTGGTTAAGTACTCAATGCTTTTTGGTCTTAAATCAAGGCACCATACTAATTTCCCCCACTGCTGTTCCACCTTTACAGGCTTTTTGCTTTGTACTTAAAAACTGATGTCTATTGGTGAAAGAATAAATACATAAATCAATAGAACAGAATTAAAAGTCTGGAAAGAGGCCCACACGGTACAGTCCATTGACCTTAGACGATGCAAAAGCAGCTAATGGAAGAAGGGTGGTCCTTTTGGCAGATTCGGCTCAGACAACTGGACGCCCATAGGCCAAAAAAATGAACCTTGGTATAAACTTAACATCATTTACAAAAATTAATCCAAAGTAGATCATGGACTCAAATGTCAAACTATAAATATATTAGAAGGAAACAGGAGAACATCTCTGTGAACCCATTAAGCAAAAGGTTCATAGATACAAGGAAAAGGGTTCTTAAATACAACACTAAAAGCACTCTCCACAACAGAAAAGGATGCCAAATTGGACTACTTCAAAACTAAACACTCTACCCTTTGAAAGACTTGAAGAAAATATTTACAAATCACCTATCTGACAAAAGACTTGTGTCTGGAACATATTTTCTTATGTTTGAGGTTAGTGTTCTTTATAGACACAAGTCTTGAACAAACACTTCACCAAAGAAGATACATAGATGGTAAGTAAGCACAAGAAAGATGTTTAACATCTGTAGTCATCAGAGAAATGCTAATCAAAACCAAAATGAAATACTACCTCTCACTCACTCAGATGGTTCAAAAGAAGAAACAAACTGAAAACGAGTGTGGGGAGCAACTGGGATGTCCCGGAAAGTTCTGGCAGTTCCATATGGAATTAAGCACACAATCACCATCTCCTCTCCTACAGATGTGCCCAGGAGAATGTTTAAAATCACTTATTCTCTATAAACAGCTCTTGTCCCTCACTGGGGAGTGGATAAACAGACCCCAGAACAGCCACCAGACAGATACTAATCTGCACGAAAAGGCATCAACAGATACACACAACTACACAGATGGACATCCAAGTGTATTCTGCAGAGTGGAAGACACTGACCTCAGAAGGCTACATAATTATCCTGTTTGGCTGCCACTCTGGGGAAGGCAGAACTACAGGGGGTGGAGAGCAACTCAGTGGTTGCTGCGGCTGGGCATGGGGGAGGGGATGATACAGTGGGACAGTACAAGGGAACCTGGGGGTGACCAAACCATTCCATATCTTGATTGTGGTGGTACACAACTCCATGCATTTGTGAAAACTCAGAGCACTAAGTGAAAGAAGCTGGTCTGAAGAGGCTACCTGCTGTATGATTCCAATTATTTGAACTTCTTGGGAAAGGTAACTATGAAGACAGTACAAAATCAGAGGCTGCCAGGCCCTGAGGAAGGGAATAAATCGATGGAGTACAGGGTATTTCCAGGGCAGCAAAACTGCAGGATCCTGTAACAGTAGGTACAGGGTGTTGTGCATTTGTTGAAACCCACAGAATGTACAATAGCAAGAGTGAACCCCAAGTAAACCATGGACTTATGAACCCTGAGAGAGAAGATACCTACTAAAAAGGGCTCCTGGTACCTTACGTAACTGGGCAAACAAACAAACATGCAAAAAAACCTACACACACAAACAAACAAAAAACACAAACCCACAAAACCATAGAGCCTAGCAGACATTTTTACACAGGGGCTTTGCCTGCAAACTGCACTTCAGGGAGAAGTCTGCACTGAATGGCCTGCCTCTGCACAAAACTGCCTGCCTACCCACACTGTGTTTCTGCCATCTGAGCTGGACCTTAAGAAATTCCTGGAACCCTACTTTAACCAATAGGACTGAAGCTTTACCCATCCAATCAGAGCTGTGTAGCTCCAAACAACCAGAGCTGCTCTATTCTGACCAATCAGGACAGTGCCTTTTGGATCAATCAAATTGCAAAACTTTGGAGTCCTCATTTACATGAGGAAAAGACCAATCAGGGACCAGGGAGGAAACTTCTGAACATACAAGCCTGCTCTCTTCTGGTTCTGAGAGTTAACTTTTTCTACAGAAGACTGAAGACTGTTTCCCTGGCTGAGCTGAAAGACAAAGAGATGGAGCAGACCAGCCCAGGCCAGAGCAGAGTGGCACAAAACAAAACAGACTAACGCACAATGGAGCAGACCAGGTAGTACAAAGCAGTCCATCAAGGCACACGGCAGAGCTGTCTAGACGGACAGGGGCCTGTCCCCGGGGCTTCTTCAAAGCTGCAGCTTTGCAGTATCACAACTGAGCTGTTTTGCACTGACCAAAGTCTCCTCTTCACCACACCCCAAATTAGGGAATCCTGATGGTGTTGAATTGGCACCAACAACCATCAGTTGATAGACTTTAGCTAATAATAATGCATCAATACTGGTTTATCGATTCTAACAAGCATATCACTTAATACTAGATGCTCATAATGAGAACATGTGCAGAGGAAAAGGACATACAGGAAACCAGTGTACTCAATATTCAATTTTCCTGTAAACCTAAAGTGGCTCTAAAAATAAAGTCTGGTTTGTTTGTTTTTTTAAACAACTTGTAAATAAAAAACCTTGTAGAACTGTACAGTAAAAACTATACAATTTAAAATATTATAAATTAAAAAATGGATGCTGTATACCCTGCCTTGCTCCTCCATGGAACTAAAGGAATGCTTTCACATAGAACAAGGGGCTCTGTTATCCTGAGACTCTTGCCAAGACCACCCAGATGCCCACATCCCTACCTTGACCGCAGAGGGGTCCAGCCCAACCCTCCCAGTTCCATTCCTCACCATCTGTCCCTGTCCACAGTCACCCACCCATCACCCCCAACACACCAAGATGATTTCTATTCAATGAACTTCATTAGCTGCCCTGCCCCAACCCTATCACCACTGTGTATCCAGCACCCATTCTTGTGCCTGGCACCACGTGGATACACAGATCCTTCCATGACTACAGACAAAAATTTCTTACTAAGCTGGCACAGCACCTCATGCTATTTCAGACCTTTTCCTGGGTGTCTCGGCACCTCTCTTGAGAGATGGCAATGTAACAGGTAAGGCACCCAAGCCCAGGGCAGCCAGATGAGCAGCTGAGGCCTGCTCACCACACACTCCACCCTAGAGTTGGCAATGCATTCACCCACCACTGGGCGAAACCCTTGTTGACATGAGCAAATGCCCCGTTGGTACTGCCTGAGTGATTTTCTGATTCCTTAGCCACTTCTCCAACATTTTCCACTGCGTACTGCATGAGAGCCATGCAAGCTACAGTGACACCAGCCTCTACAAAAAAAAAGCATCTAATTCTCTTCGCTTCTACTGGTAAATTCAAGTGAAGGGTATACAAGTGGCTGCTGTGCTCTTCTATCAATGTAACTTCTCCAATGTCTGAACTTTTCCTGATAAAACTTTCTGAAAGATTAAAAAAGCAGCTAACTTGCTTCTTATATGCAGAAGGGTTCATTATACGATGCTGTCCTGTCATAGCGGAGGAAGAAGCTGGCAGCACCAAGCATCAATGTGCTTCTCTGCCCAGGATCTACCAGAGGGTCAATGGGACTCAGACTGAGGAAGGTCTGGGGCCTGCTGAACACACTAGGCTGCAGTGGAGATCCTTCTTGAGCTGCAGGCTGGTGAGACTCCTGACAGGAAAGCACTGACGGCAGCAGGAGCTCTGTGCCAATGAGCCACACATAAAGGACATGTGACATCCAGATTTTGCTGTGTCTCAGGTGGTGGTGGCATTGGAGCTTGCAGGCAAGGGGTAAGCAGGAGCTTGTCACCCAGGAGAAAGGAAAGCCCTGTCCCCCAGCAGCATTCCTGAGCCTCCCACACTGGACACTATCATGGGGCCTAGGGGAAGAAGCAGAAGAGAAGCAGAGGGTGCAGTGCCTTCTGGTGGACTCCCTCAGTCCAGGGCTTCTCTGGGCCCTGCCAAAGCTGGCTCCTACACAGCTTCCCACCAGATGGGAATAGAGCCTACTCACGACAGGGCACAACAAAGCCTTAAGACACAGGAAATACATCTGTGTTGCCAGAAATAGAGATAGAGATGAGAGGGAGAGAAACACTGATTGGTTGCCTCTTGTATGTGCCATGACTAGGGACCGAACCTACACCCCATGCATGTGCCCTGATTGGCAATAGAACCAGCGACCTTTACTTTGTGGGACGATGCCCGACCAACTGAGCCACATTGGTCAGGGCAGTTCATAGCAGTTTAAAACTAATCTTTCCTCACTATGTAAGTCGTCTTTTCTGATCAGATAAAAATGCATTCCTGATAAATATTCAAATTAAAAAAATAAAGAATAGAAAGTGGGGGCACCCATATACCTACCACCTCAAGAGAACTCTGATATGAGATGGGGGTTACATGTCCAAACACCCCACTGGGGCCACACAGCCGCACCTGTACCTGCTCAGCCTCACTTCCGAACAATCCCGCCTGAAGCTGAAGCAGCTCTTCCCTCTATGGCACTCCTTTGCTAGCATGAGCACTGCTGTGATATACATCCTCACAAGAGTGGCTGGCCTTGATCTAATCACTTCCTAGAAGTGGGACTGCTGGCAGAGGGTTCACACACTTAGGAGTGGGACATGTTACAAGCTCACAGTCCTTTCCCACTATTTGCAAACATGATCAGCAGCAATGCTGACTGAGACCTCTCCATCCAGTCATGAAACATGGCACTGTTTTAATCTGCCTTTCTTCTTACTTTGTGCAAAGTGTAGTGGGAGTGGCACAGGAGAAGGTTCTGGGAAGGCTGGTGGTATAACATTTATTCTGTTTCTTGACCTTGGTGAGACCACTTCGTGAAAACTCAGGAGCTGTGCACTTAGGGTCTATAATATTATCCTGCAGGTTTGTCACACCTCAGTTTAATGTTCAAAGAAACCGCACTGTAATTCTGATCGCAACTGCACGTATTTGTAGATCAATTTAATGAGAGCAGACATCTTTACAGTGCCATTGTTTCTCTATGCCATCAACCTGGCTAATCACTGTTGGCATGGTAGACCTTGATCTGGTTGAAACTGTGTCTGTCAGGTGTCTCTACTCTGTGCTCCCCCTCTTCCTTTACCATCCTATTGAGAAAAATGCCACTGCTAACAGCCCACACTTAAGGAAAGGGAGTATCTACATAAATTACGTAGAATTCTGCATGGGAGATTTGCATCTTGTCCTTTATTTATTTAATTATCAATTCTATCAGTACGGACTCATGGAAATCTGTGTTTTACGTAAGTTGTAACCCAATTCTGCATTACCAAGTAAGGATTCAAAGCACATACACGATATAAACGCCCCTCCATGGTTTGGAACGATCCTTTCACCTGGGGCTTCACTGAGGCAGCTCCTTGCTAAGACTGAGAAGTCTCAGCTCAGCTCCTGGGTTTGTCGGTACCTTTGGACTTTTGGCTCAGAGCTTTGGTGCTCTCCAATCCCCAGCAGCTCCTAAAAGCAACCTTCTGGCCATTGTCAAGCTTATCAAACATGCTTTGCTCACACCTCTGATCAGTCAGGAGGTATCAGGCATGCATGTCTCTCCAGATACCCGGGAGACAGTCTCTCACTCTCCTGTAAGACAACCTCTTCTCTGTAGAATCACACACAAAAAACCCCCCCCCCAAAACCCTAAGACAAAGCCAAGGAAGCTCACTGCTTTTCGACCAAACCAGCACTGAACGCCCAAGCAAAGAGCCAGAACACCCACTCACCCAAAAAATCTGGGGCAACTGAAATAAAAGATGACATGAGATTTGCCCCCAAAATTGCATCACAGGGGAAGTGCACTCCCAAGGGGGGGTGCAGGGGATGATGACTCTGCTCTGTTTGTGAGACAGTAACATTAGAAACCACCTCAGCCAAGGATCTTCCCCTGCTTAACAAGGTTCCTCAGATTCATACTACACCAGTCAAATTTCCCAGATCTTGGAGCAAAAACAGTTTCTAACTGACAAATGTAAGGCAAGTATAAGGGTGGGAAGTAAGAAGAAATGTTGAAGCTGCAACAAACAAACGGGGTGTGAGGCTGGCAAATGACCCACAAAGCCACAGCCACTGGCCTCTTCCGACTTGCCTGACCGCATTCCACATACCTCTAAGGAGGCTCCCTTTGCCCACCACCACCAGTTGTTAAAGACTACCCACACTCCCTCGAAGCTGAAGTGAATCACTGCTCTTCCGCACGGCGGTGATCTAGACATCCTGGTTACTATCAGGACTTGCTGCAAAAGGGTGGCAGTTCAGAGATAAAGCCTTGAATATATAACACAAGGATCTGTAAGGACCCATGCTGGGCTGGAGCCAGAGCAGAACCACACACAACTAGGCCCCACCTGGTAGTAGCTCACACCTGAGAAACGGGGGCTCACAAGCCATCCAACCCCAAGATAGGGAGACAAGAGCCAGAGATGCAGGGAGGCAATGTCCTGCAGATGTAGCAGAGGTCACTGAAGACTGTTCCATGAGACAGCTTGACCCACACAACAGCTGGACTTTGACCAGCAGGGGTCTTGGGTGGGGGGGAAGTTCATCTATGATGAGGAACAGAGAGGTCTGGGTGAGAGAGCAGAAGCTCTGATGGGGTGAGTGGGAGGGACAGGTAGATACTTCAAGTTCTGTATTTCAGCAAACAATGCAAAACGCCCAGCAGGAGCAGGTGGTGTCTCACAATACAACCTGTACTTACCCAACCTGAATGAGCTCATTCAACTTTGTGGCATTCTTGTCATCCATACCTTTAAACAGAAAAAGAAACAGACACGACCTTGAAGCAGTTAGGAGAAAAACTGGTATAGGTTCCCATATAATTATCTTTTACCTTCCATGTAGAATTTACATGCTTTACAGAATAAAACCCTTACATTAGCAGTAGCCCCTCACTCAAAGTCAAAACAAGGAGTCACCTGAGCTGAGGGTGCTGACCCACCTGCACACCCTTTCCACCCACCCAGACTTTCTCAGTAGGACCGATACCTGCTCCGGCACAGACTATCAGTCCTCCCCAAAACTCTAAGACCCCGGGCTACACTGAACCTCCACTTATCCCCAGCTGTGTATTTCAAAGACTCATCCCTCAGGGTAACCACTGCGCCCTGTGCACGCTTCTCCTGCTGGGCTCTTGTGTTACTTGTGTGCCTGCCTTAGTGTTGAGCCCTAGGGTCCCAGGGTCTGCTGGATGACAAGCCTAGAACCTGTGCATTTCTTCTGCTCTCTTGGTACTTAGCGATGTCCTCTGGAAATGAGAGAAAGCAAGTAGAGTAACCAGGTAATGGGAGAACCTAGGTGGTAGGTGTTTGGATGATCACTGTAACAGTCTTTGAATTCTACTATGGATTTTTGAGGGAAAATAAGCCACAGACACGGCAGACTGAAATCCAAAGGAAAAAAAAAAACCTTAAAAGCAGCCAGAGGAAAAAAAAATCCCCTCTAGAGGAACAAGGACACAGAATGACCTCTCACTAGAAACAGTGACGGCCAAAGATGATGAAACATCTTTAAAGTGAGGAAAGAAAAAAACTGTCAATCAGAATTCTATACCTAGCAGAAGTATCTTAAGACTAAATAAACACTTTTCAGATAAATGATTACGATAAGAATTCACAGCCAACACAAGTACACAAGGAAGACTAAAGGAAATGCTACAGGCTGAACAGAAGAGAAACGGTACCAGACGGAAATGGATCTTCAGGAGAGAAGGCACAGCCTCGGAGATGGCGAATGTACAGATCTGCTCATTAAACAAAGAGGTCGCACGCAGACCTCCTTCGGATGGGCACGAATCAAACGAGCACACATGAATGTAAGCGGCAGTTGCGGCAGTAAATGAAGGAGGACCTGAGTGCTGAGAGTGAGTGGCATGGAGGCCCAGCCTGTTGCAAAGTTTGTAGACATATGAGCTGAGGTCAAAGAGTAGGCAGGAGTTCATAAACAAAGGAGAGGGAAGGGCCCATCGTCCTGTGTCTAGCAGGTGGGACAGACAGACAGAAGGCTGGGTAGTTAGAACCACAACTTCAGGGTTTGAGTCACCAAATGGGGTACCACCCAAGAAACTACCCTTCAAAGAAAAGAACCAACTACAGGTGAGTACTAGAGGTAGCTATGGTGTCTCCCTCTCACCCTGTCCCAACATTGGTGCTGTGGCAGATAAACTAAGCATGGGGTGTAAGAATCAGGCCTAGGGGATGCATGAGAACTTGCTGCTTAATAGCCAAGGAAGCTTGATGTCATTTGTTTTTCATCAAAATGTCCTCGGCCCTTTTTACAGATGGGGACACCATCTCACATAGCTATTTAGGTGCTGGACACAAAGTAATGTGTATTAAAGTCCCTGGAATTTGGCAGAGACTCAAAGTCTACTATTTCAGAATTTACTATTGTCTACTATATTCAGAATTCAGCATGCACCTGAATATGTTAAAAAAAGGCATTAATAAAAAGCAGGCACTGACCTCCTGAGTGCTGAGACATTTCTGAACAGCCCGTTACCACTGAGCAGAGGCTGCCATGCGCAGGGCACTCTGCAGAAGGCTGTATGTGGAAGCACATCCTCTGAAAAGATTTCATGAAATGACAGAACAGTGCTCCAGCGCATCAATCAGTGGGTGGTGGCTCAGAGGGATGAGCCCTACCAGGGTATACACACTTGTACATGTATGTGAATATGTGCAAGTGTGAAGAGGAGCTGGGCTGAGAGGGATGACCAGTCATTACAGACAAGACAGGAACAGCCAAGCTGGAGGGATGCCCACTAGGGAGATAAGGTAAAGTCCAAATGCCATGGCCCCCCCGGTTCAGGGGGCCAGGTGATACCCCAGGAGTGACAGGAGGTGACCCAAAGTCACGGAGTCAACAAAAGGATGAAACCAAAGACTCATGGGAAATCACAGAATAGCTGAAAGTTACTGGCTGAGTGGCTCAGATATGACATAGATAAAGGGGGGGCCATGGCATCCTTGCCAAAGAAGGTGGTACCTAACATGCTGCCATGACCAGAAACATTTTAGGTCTAGGACAGAGAGAAGGACACAGTGGAGAAAGTAGAGATTCAAGGGAGGTGGGGCCCTACAGCCCCTCTCAACAGACTATTCAAAGTATGAGCTGGGAGAGGTTTACAAGGAAGTCCTTAAACTGTGGAAAGGATGGGATGGACAACCAGAACACCTGTTCCGTTTGGAGCCCCTTAGGTATTCTTGCCTGTTCCAGAAGAACAGAGGTCACCCAGCACAGGCCAGACATGCAGAACTATCAGTGAATGCCCATCATCCCCACCCTGCTGCTGCTTCCACACCCCCAGCCACCTGCCCACTCAGTGACACGTTAGGTGACACGTTAGGTGACTGGTAAGATGACGGCTTATGGTCATTTCATATGATCTCATTTAACCTTCAGAGTGGCCCTGTGGGTGTGTGACAAGCAGACAAGTGGCATCTGCAGAGGCAAGGCTGTGCCCTTTTGTCTGTGGTCACACAGGGAGGCAAGGTAGGGACACAAGATGCTGGGTGCAGGTGCCTCAGGAAGGCCAGAGTGCTCTCCACATCTACAGAGAATCTAATCACTTAGGAGTGGATCAGAACATTACAAAAGGGAAGGGTCTGGACCCTTCAAAGTACCAATGTCACCAAAGACCAAAACACGGGGGCTGTTCCAAGTCAGAAGACTTAAGGGACACGACAGCTACAAGCAGAGCAATGTCCTCAACAGGAGCCTAGCTGGTACGCTGGGATATGCTAGAAAATCTGAGTATGGGCAGGGTATTAAGTTAGACTGTGGTGCCTGTCTGATAAATGTGAAATGGTGGGTGTGATAAGTGTTGTGGGTGTGCAGGGGAATGTCCATGTTCTCAGGTGACAAAGGCCGAGGGATTTAGTGGTATGCTAGCATGTCTGCAACTTAGCCAAATGGCTGAGCAGGAAAAAAAGCAAGTATGTGGAGGGGGAGCGAGTACACCCAGAAACATGAAAAGCATTACAAACTGGGAAATCTAAGTGAAGGTATGTGGTGGCCATCACATTCTTATTCAGTGTTTCTGTAGCCAACACGTTTAAGATGAAAGTGGGAGGGAAAACAGAAGAGCCACTGGGATCAAAGACCCAACAATGCCAGGAGAGCAGGCCCTGCCGGGAGCAGCCACAAGTGCCTTGTGGAAGGCCGGGAAACTTCTGAAGCTGCCGGCGTGGCTGGGACAGCACCAGCAGCTCATACTCACAGCCCCCGATCTTCTTGCGTAGCTCCCCATAGCAGATCAGACCATACAGCTCCTGGGATGACTTCTTCAGCCCTCGAGAGAACACTGAAAGACAGGAAACAAGGAGGCTTCAGAAGGGGGAGAACGCTGCTGGCCCAGGGTGGGCTAGCTCGTGTGTACCAGAACAGTGCTGGGGCAACATGTGACACTGCTGATTTCTCAGTTTTGCTTACTGTACCTTGGAACCACAGAACGTTACTACCAGGGAAGAATGGGCAAGGAGTATAATAGAACACAGAGCAGTTTTTGTCATTTTAAAAAGCTAAAACAAAAAATGAGGGGAAGGGGTTAGAAAATTATTCCTAACAGGCAGTCCAGTGTCCCCTGGGAAGAGAAAATGGGATATACAGCACAGCTGGTTCCAAGGAGGTGGAAGAACTGGGACATGACCATCACCAAATTTGTCATCCAACTCTCTCCACACATGCAGAATCTGCTTGAGCTCCATGTTAGGCAGGCAGCCCTGGAACTGTGGAAGCTGACCTGTCACTGCCTCCTGTGGCTGGTGATCAACACGCCCGGCCTGGGGCCAGACCAGAGAAGAACTATGGCTCAAATCTGGAGACTGCTAACCCATTCTCCCTTGTTTCCTAGTAACAGGACCAGTTATATTCAGGAAGCAACACATATGGGTAAGGCAGCACATGTCCCAGCCTGCCCTGCGGCTAGACATGGCAACAACATTAAGTCCTGGCCTTTGAAGTAAGCAGATATATTGTGGGAGACTTCAGAAACCTCCTTAAAAGACTGATTTGGGCAGAATTGTGCTCATTTTTCCTTCAGAACTTCTGCCTAGAGCGATCTTGCACAGCTAAGCACTAAGGATGGCAGAGCAGAGAGATGGGATGACCTGTGTCCTCGATGCCTGCCCTGGACCACCTACTGCAGGCATCTCTGACAAGAAAGAATCAATTCTTACATTCTTAAGATGCTGTTACTTTGAGTTTTTATATCCTATAAAGCCAAATCTAATTATGATTTGGAAGCCCAGCCACAGCATAGTCGAGGCATTTTTTTAAAGATTTTATTTATTTATTTTTAGAGAGGGAAGGGAAGGAGAAAGAGAGAGAGAGAGAGAAACATAAATGTGTGGTTGCTGGGGGCCGTGGCCTGCAACCCAGGCATGTACCCTGACTGGGAATCGAACCTGCGATGCTTTGGTTCGCAGCCTGCACTCAATCCACTGAGCTACGCCAGCCAGGGCTTGAGGCATCTTTTAGGTCATCTCACAGAGCAGCAACCAATGTCATTTGCCCTTCATCCTCACAATGTTCCTCCCCAAAGGCCCCTTATCAAAGTCCTAACGTTCAGGCTCTGTGAATATAACAACAGAAAAGGAAAAGGGGGAAAAAATTAGCAAATGGAGACTATGGCTTTAGATAAATAATTTAAAACAAAGTTCCTGAACCTTGGACAGGCCCCGAGGAGCCTAGGACTCTGCCAACATTACACACCAACCATTCCAGAATGTTCACCTGAAAGAAAGATCCACAGACCTAACTGGACTCTCACAGGGGACCGCAACTCAGGATACTTTAAGATCTACTATTCAATGAAGAAACACATGTAGTCTCTCCTGACAATGGAATATTATTCAGCCATAAGAGGGAATGAAGTTCTAACACAGCTACAACCTAAACTAACCTGAAAAACATGATAGGTAAAAGAACACAGACACCAAAGGCTAATGTGACTAATTTTACATGAAATGTCCAGCACAGGCAAATCCAGAGACAGAAAGCAGACTATGGTTGCCAGGGGCTGGGAGAGAGCCAAGAAATGGCTACACAGTGTAAACCTTGATGCAACTGCTGGTATAGCACAAAGTGGCAGGTGGGCCCTCAGAGTTAAAGTGGTCAACTAGCTGCCACCAGCTTGGAGACATTATCAGGACCAGCTGGAGAACCTCAGGTGGAGCCATCAGCTCAACAGAAAGCAGTACTCCTCAGGAGGTCATACCAGGGGGTCACCAGGAAAAAGATGTAGAATAATGAGATGCCAAGAAGGTAGGAGATAGAGGGGAGACAGGGAGGGAAATAGAAGCCACACTGTAGAGAAGGGAGAAATGACATAAATTGGGTCTATCCCACAGAGCTTGCCATGCAACAAAGGTGTAGTGTGGGAGCTGAACTTGAGGGCAGCAGATTCATATTCTTCATCCCTGAGTTGGAGAAAGGGCCGAGAGGAATGACACCTCTAGGGATGAGGTGAGGAGCTTAGGAGGTTGTCCAGCAGAGAGAAGTGACATATTCTTAGAAAAGAAACATTCCTGCCCTGCCTGGTATAGCTCAGCGGACTCAGTGTAGGCCTGAGAACCAAAGGATTGCCAGTTTGATTCCTGGTCAGGGCATATGTCTCGGTTGCAGGCCAGGTCCCCAGTAGAGGTGGTGTGCAAGAGGCAACCACAGAGTAATGCTTCTCTCTTTCTCCCTAATAAATAAAATCTTAAAAAAAAAAGAAACATCCCTTTAAGTCACCTCTGAAGCCTGCAGAGTAAAAAGCCTGGGTGTGACAGGCCTGCGACATACCAGACCTCAGAAGCAACAAATGATACCACGTCTGCACTGGGTACCTGAGTATCCCATGCACTGCCCACTCTGCTAGTGGTATAGTCACGCCATAGGACAGAACGTGCTAGTTAATGGCTACTGGAATCCTGTCACCCTTCCCTCCATACCTTATCACCAACAGTTTTCCAATCCTCACACACTGGTGACTGCCTTGCTTTGAAAGAGAGCTTTTCCAGAAGATTCAAAGTGGACGAATGGCTTGTTCTCACAGACTGACTTTCATGAAGTCACCAAAGAATATAGTATGTAATAAAAAAAAGAAAAAATGTAAAAGACAACACAGCCCTGGCTGGGTAGCTCAGTTGGTTAAGAGTGTCATCCCGATACACCAAGGTTGTGTGGATTCGGTCCCCGACCAGGGAACATACAAGAAGAAACCAATGAATGCACAAATCAGTGGAACAACAGATCGATGTCTCTGTGTGTCTCTCTCTAAAAAACAACAAAAAAAATTTAAAAAGACAATACAGAAAGAGCAACAGCTAAAATTCATTCCTGTATGCCACCCAGAAAGGTAGGGAGGGTGTCTGTGAAGGTGATCGGTATCAGCAACAGCACTGCACTCAGTAGGGTATTTCAAATAAGCGAGTGATCTGAGAAACAGCTGCAGGAATGGCCGAGCACAGCAGCACACACACAGACGCAGTGTCACAACCAAGGAAGAAAACGTTGCTGTCTTGCCATATGCCAAAGCCAGTCAAGAACCTTATGAAAATGGTCATATGGACATTGAAAGCAAACAAAACAGTATTAGCAAAAGATCTGCCCAGTCAGACCCAGGGACTACTCCTAAACTGTGGACACCGTCAGCCCATTTCTGTGGGTCTCTAGAAAGTAGTAATCTCACATAAAGATATTCTGTTAAAAGGTCTTCAACACAATGTTCTGCGTTGTTTTTATCCCATAAAAACAACTGGCTGGCCAGAAGGTCCCCTGCAGGTAGAGGGACTAGAGCTAGGACAGTGAGCCCTCCTCCAAGGCAGTCTCCTGGTCACATACAGTAAACGCTGAGATATGTGTTCTCAGCAGGATCAGGAAGAGGACACCCCATGAGGTTGCCAGTGGAAGGCTTTGAAGCCAGAAAGATACCTTAAAATGACTAGTGATAAACAAGAGCATTCTTGGCCAGAGAGAACCTGGTGGTGCCATAAGTACTAGCTCAGCAGAAAAAAGGCACTTCACATCAGGTCTTGCCATAAAAACAGGTCTTACTGTGAGCGGAATGCACTCGACTGCCAGTGCGCCTCCCTGCATTTTTCAAGGACAGAACTGGATGGGAAATACAGCAAGCAGCAGACAGATACCCAGACTACTGAGCCAGGCATTTGTCTCCCCAGAAGAAAATCAGACGCACTCATGACAAGATGCTCATAATGAGAAAAACTGACTTTCAAAAACTAACTAAAAAATACGATATGTAAAAGAAAAAATTATTTTTTAATATGTTTTATTGATTATGCTATTACAGTTGTCCCATTTTCCCCCTTCTCTCCCCTCCACCCTGTACCCCCTCTCCCACCCACATTCCCCCCATTTAGTTCATGTCCATGTGTCATACTTAGGAGTCCTTTAGCTTCTACATTTCCCATACTATTCTTGCCCTCCCCCTATCAATTTTCAACCTACATTCTATGCTACTTATTCTCTACACCTTTTCTCCCTCTCTCCTCCTCCCACCCCCCTGCTGCTAGCCCTCCATGTGCCCTCCATTTCTGTGGTTCTGTTCCTGTTCAAGTTGTTTAGTTTCTTTTGGTTTTGCTTTAGGTGTGGTTGTTAATAATTGTGAGTTTGCTGTCCTTTTACTATACATGTCTTTTTCTTTATCTTCTTTTCTTAGATAAGTCCCTTTAGCATTTCATAAAAGAAGGGCTTGGTGATGATGAACTCCTTTCACTTGACCTTATGTGAAAAGCACTTTATCTGCCCTTCCATTCTAAATGAGAGCTTTGCTGGATAGAGCAATCTCGGATGTAGGTCCTTGTCTTTCATGACTTGGAATATTTCTTGCCAGCCCCTTCTTGCCTGTAAGGTCTCTTTGGAGAAATCAGCTGACAGTCTGAAGGGGACTCCTTTGTAGCTTACTGTCCCCTTATCTCTTGCTGCTTCTAGGATTCTCTCCTTTGTTTTTTACCTTGGCTAATGTAATTATGATGTGCCTTGGTATGTTTCTTCTTGGGTCCAACTTCTTTGGGGCTCTCTGAGCTTCTTGGATTTCTTGGAAGACTGTTCCCTTTGCCAGATTGGGGAAGTTCTCCTTTATTATTTGTTCAAATACATGCTCAATTTGTTGCTTTTCCCGCTTCCCATTCTGGTACCCCCTATAATTCGGATGTTGGAACGTTTAAAGGTGTCCTGGATGCTCTTAAGCTTTTCCTCGTTTTTTTGACTTCTTATTTCATCACGCTTTCCTGCTTGGTTGATTCTATCTTCCTTCTGGTCCACTGTATTGTTTTGAGACTCAGATTCCTTCCTTTCACTATTGGCTCTCCTCCGCGTATCTTCTTGCATCTCTTTTATGGTAACCTGCATCCTTTCATCTAATTTGCGCCCAAAATCAACCAATTCCGTGAGCTTTCTGATCACCAGTGTTTTGAACTGTGCATCTGATAGACTGGCTATTTCTTGGTCGCTCAAAAGGATGAGTCCTGGGGGACTGATCTGTTCTGCTGGAAACATGTCTTTCCCTGTCTCTCCTTTTTTTTCCCCCGGTCTGATCGCTCTTGTTACGGTGGGGGGCGGAGCCTTAGGTGTTCACCAGTGTTCACTGGGGCTGGGCACCCCAGTCTCTAGATTGTGACGTTATTTGTGGGGGCAGGGGCGGGAGGGAACAATGGTGATAGTTTCATTCTCCTGGGCTCAGACCCTTCTCTGGGATCCTGGGCTGCGAGCTCTGCCCTGGTCCACAACTGCTGCCTCACTGGGTCCGCCAGCCGCAGCTTGCGTACTCAGGGATCACCGCTGCGTTCTTGGGCCCCGGATGGCTGTCGCGCCAATTTCGCGCCAAATTTTCCCCGACCTCCGAGTGCTGCCGACCTGTGCCAGCCCCGCGCGCGTCCGGCTTGTCTTCTCCTACCAGTCTGGATGTACGGGTCTACTTCAACTTCTTGGCTGTCCGACTTCCATTCAGATAAATCCTCCGTCAGTTCTGGGTGTTATTCTATCTGTAAATTATTGTTGTAAATTATTGTTGTTCTAATCTTGGTTGTGCGAGGAGGTACAGTGCGTCCACCTATTCCTCCATCTTGCCAGAAGTCCTCAGAAAAATTTAAAAGACAACAAAGAAAGTGCCAAAGAGCTAAAACTCATTCCCATGTGCCACACAGACTCAGTTTTCCCAATCATGTGAAGTTAGATGAAGAAAGTACTTCTGGCCCTGGCCGGGTAGCTTGGTTGGTTAGAGCATTGTCCCATACACCAAAAAGGCTGCAGGTTCGATCCCCAGTTAGGGTACATAGGAAAGCAAGCGATCAATCTTTCTCTCACATCAATATTTTTCTCTCTCTCAAATCAATAAATATATCCTTGGGTGAGGATTTTTTTTTTAAAGTGCTTCTGAAGGAATTAAGCACTGTATAAATAAAGACGTTCACACTAGAAGGGTCCCTGGCCGGTGTGGCTCAGTTGGTTGGAGCATTGTACCATACCCAAAAGGTTGTTGGTTCGATTCCCGGTCTGGGCACATATGGAAGGTAACCAACTGATGTTTTCTCTCTCACGTCGATGTTTCTCTCTCTCCTTTCCTGTCTCTCTCAAAGCAATGAAAAAGTGTCAATGGGTGAGGAGGAAAAAAAACCCCACTAGAAGTGGATTGCAAATCCAAAAGGAAAGGTCCAAGTTATTCATTTATAAATGTCAACTCAAAGAATTAACATTTAATGTAAAACACATGCAGAAATTCTGCAGCAAAATGAAGACGTGGTCTGAAAATACTACATTTATAGTAGAGATAGATGAGGAGGCAATGCTGGTTGTCTTGGCGCTCAGCTCCTCAGCCTGTTGTCTGAGTGGCTTGGGCTAGGGCCTCCACTGCTCCGCCAGGGTTTTCTCATCTGCATAAGGGCGACAGCACCTCCAGCGAAGAGTACATGACGTGTTCAACAACACAGAGCAGGCCCACGATCAGGTGACGGTAGGGGCAGAAGAGGATTCATGGAAGGATTTTTAGGAGTACCGACATGAAAGCTCAGTCTTGGAATGTGAACAGGGTCAGGGAGGCTGATGGTAGGGGTGGCAGGGGTCAAGGCACAAAAGCAAGAGCAGTTTAGAGTGGAGAGGGGGCCACCACAAAGGACTGACGGCACAGGTTCAAAGGGGGGAGTGAGACTGTGAGACCATAGCTATCACAGTTATTCTGGATCAGAAGTGGTATTATTTGAAGAGAAACATCAGAAATGAGTGAAGTCAGCACAAGCAAACATCTGCAATGACTGACCAATGACCAAAGCTGTGTACGTGAAGACGACAATTGAAGATGAAGAAACTGAACACTGAGAGGGAGGAATAACATGGAGACCCAATTCTTCTGACAAATGGAGACAGGAGGAGGCAAGGCCTCCTCTGAGGAGAGAAATGTAAATGGAAAGAGTGCGCTGAGCCAGAAGTCAGAACTCACCTGGCAATGACCTAGACATGTGAATTAAAAACTCAAATCTTGATTCAAAGACAGACGGCAAGAGACTTGGGAAAGGGAGCCCTCCACCCCTGGGTGACAAGCAATGGGCTTTGCCAATCTTAAACCCAACAAGCCCCACCGGGGAGAGCAGAACTGGAGGGGTCCAGCTGTGGCCTCTCCTCATTGACTGTGGTGTTGAGGGCCTCCCTCACAGTGGGGGACACAAGCCCACAGCAAGCCAGGGGCCTAGACACCACAGACATTCAGAGCCATCAGAAACAGGCACAACTTCCTTGTAATCCGACCTGACCAACTATAACTAAATTACTAAATGTGTGTACCACCTGTCCAAGTGCTGCAAGGCAAGAACATTCCAGGACACGTGTCTGGGCAAGAACAACATCAGAGAGTGTGTTCTGTGACTTTTCAAGAACCCGGCTCCTGACCAGAGCCCACCCCTACCTCCCAGCCTCCCGAGAGACTGAGCCTCACATGCTCACCATTGTCAAAGTCGATGTACTTGGTGATCTTGTGCCATGTGCGGTAGTAGAAATGCCGCACCTGCTCCTTGTTCTTCACCATGCTGGCGGGCTTGCCCTTCTTCTTATACTTGAGGGCTATGTTGTTCTGGATCGCTTCAAAGTCTTTCCCATGCTGGAAAATAAGTCCATGATAAAAGCACACAGTTTAAAACAACGCAGCCTTCGGTACAATGCAGACATGTCCAGGGAAAGGGGACCAAGGCTGTCAAGCAAGTGTCCCTCCCAGCTCTTATTTGTGCATCAACTGCAACCTTGCTTCCCTCAAACCTCAGGTTTTCATCAGATAACAGCTAAAGCAGTAAAGGAAACTCAAGGCTAGAACTCTCGCAGCAGTGGATAGCAAGAGGCAAGGGCCCTGGAACAGGAGAAACATAAAGCTTATCACTCAAATGCCTTAACCTCTGAAGTTCTTCAGAGACTCCGGAACGAGATCACTCCATGAAGACAATCATCAGAAGATAGAACATGACGACCAGGGAGCTCAGGGGGTTATGTTATCTGGCATCTTAAAAAGATATTGACTATTGAGAAATACCCTTACTGCTTCCATCATTTAGATTTTCAGAAGAGAATTCATGTCCCAGAGAACAGAGTCACCATCTTTGCTGTTTCTGGTACTGCCAAGAGAACCTACAGTTGGTACTCTCATCAGAACCAAGCCAGTAAGAAGTATGGGGAAGGGCCTAGAGGTTAACGGCACCCCAGCATCAATGAACACCCTCAGCTTCTTAATCCCATTTTTCAAAGGGAACCACGGCTCCTTGAAGAAATGGATGCTGCCAGGTCTGGGGCAAGGAAAGTACCAGGTGAGTCTGGAATATCTTGTAGTGCCAGAAAGTGAGGATGTGCTTGAAGTACAAAGAAATATGTCGAAAGCACACAAATGCCAATTTGAAGAGGTTACCAGTGGCCAAATCTACAACAATTTGAGCAAAAAAATCAATAGTAACAATGAATGTCAACTGTAAGCAAAAAATAAAAGGAAAAAAATAACAATGGTAAGAATGGATTATGATATACAGAATAATCTAAATATCCCTGTCCATACAAATATAAATAAATACATAAATAAAGAAGGGAGTGCTTTTCTTTCACTGGGTTTCTAATTAATAAATGTAGGAATAATGGAGTCAGAAGATCATCACTGGGCAAACATCATAGTACTTCCTGTCTCAAGGAAAAGATGCAGTGGTGGCTAAAATTAGCCAGAGAAAGGACAATGAGAAACAGGGTGTTTACATAGCCTCAAAGTAAAAAAAAATGACTTGACAGTGGAGAACCTGGGAGATGCAACAGAATGCAGTGGTCACATTCACACCACAGGGGCTGGGGCACTCCACACTCGGGAGAGGATGCTTCAAGGACAGCACAGCACTCCTATGGTGCTCTTGACAAAAATGCAAAATAAACAATAAAATCATGGAGGAAGCCTCAGTAAGCCTACACTAAGGGGTATTCCACAAACTAACAGCCGAGGGGTCTTCAAAAGTGTCAGTGTCATCATGAGAGGGAAGAAAGGGAGACAGAGCACCTGCCCCAGGTTGGAGGACTTAGCAGTCATGACAACTAAATGTAATGTGGGATCCGGACCCAAAGAACATCTGTGGGAACATCAGCGCAATGTGAGTGAGGCTTGCAGGTAGGTGAATGTACGGTACCCACATCTCCTCACTTGCGGGTCATACTGCAGTTATGTGAATGTAGGGGAAGCAGGGTGAAGGGCACATGAAATTCTTTGTGCTCTTTTTGCAAATTTTTCCAAGTCTGAAACTGTTTCAAAATGAAAAGTTAAAAAATAAAAAAAAATTTTTAAAAATTAAAGCTTGTTCATTCTTTTTTAAAAACATACAATGGCAGGTAAAACATAAAAAGGCAAAGCTATGTCTGAAATACTTTTCTCCAGGGTCCAGGTCAGGTGCTGCCTCCCCTGTGAAACTTCCCTCACCTCCTGATCAGAATTGTGACGGAAACAATGCAAAACCCTCTTAATCTCATGGCTTCATTTTGCAGCTAGAGTAATGCACCCAGAGACTTCAACTGACTTACCAGGCAGGAACTAGATTCTGGGTTTTGTGATCCCATGTTCTAAAACTATACTGCCTTCCGAATTCTTGCAACATTTGTTAGTGCCTGCTTTCTAATGGTCCAGCTTTTTATGTGTCGTTAATTTACCAAAGTGGATCCTCAGTCTCTGTAAGGGGGAACTTCTTTCCATTTCCCGCATGATAATAGTGTTCTATACTTAGATGGGGCTTTCAGCAACTATCACCTGGTAAGCAGTAAGCACAGGATGCTGGCCTTATGACTGAGAGTAAGATAGAAATCAAGAATTTTATGGCAGAAACAAATACAGGCAGACGGATATAAATAAGAGGGGAAAATGAAAAGCTGACAATAGAAGAACTGCCGTTGAAATGGAGTAAGAGGATGTCAAGCATGATGTGGGTCTAGGCATTCATTTTGGTGCACCCCCTTTCTCTGGCACGGGGGACATAACTCATGATCGTGGCCACAGGGAGAAATCCGGGGCGGGGTAGGGAGACACAGTCAATCTGGGTCCTCCTCAGACTGTGCTAACTAGAACAGGGGTGCGACTCTTGCCTCTGGAGAGAATAAGCACCGAAATGTCACCCCCGATGCAAAAGGATGACGGAGAGATGACAGATGACATCGCCAGTTTAAGCCAGCCCCTCCCTGTCCTGCCCAGTCTTGAGACCCACTCAATCCCCTTGTCTCTTTATGCTACTCTGAGCTGGGTCTCTGTCACATGAATTATGTGCATCAAAAAAGGCAGGGACAACCTGGACCAACACTGCAGAAACTTTTCTCACAGAGACCTTTACCCCCATACACCAGTGCTCAAGCTACCCATGGTCATATATGCCCCAGCTAATCGGCCAAACATCAAGACCCCATCAGAGTCCCTCCGAGTTTTGGTCAGACACAAAACGACAACACATAAAGGCAATACTTATATTCTCTCTCTCTCTCTCCCTGCCGCCGCCCTCTCCAACACACACACAAATACACATACACACTCTCACACTATTTGGGATACATAGTACCAATGGTGGAAAGCATTAAGTGATCAGAATAGCTACTTATTATTATTAATCAAGGGAAGCAGGTGACCTCAAAAGAAACACCTACTAGAAAAATTAGAACAAGCCTAGCCCAAAGAGAAGAAACTGAACTAATTCACCCAAGGAAAGGTAAGGGGAGGTCATTCACAGGAATTCTTCCCCTCCTTTTAATTGACAACCTCATCTCCTGTTGCTTTCTTCAGCCAGACATATTCGTCTCAGTTCAGCATCAGCAATGGTTGCTATTCTAAGAATATTCCAGGAATCACAAGTCTTCTACGCCTGACAGAAAGCTTAAAGAAAAGGCAATTTAGGGACATATTCTACACAAAAACAGCCTCTGTACTGTAAAGTTGTCAAAGGGGAAAAAAAGAACACATTTGAATTTATTTGAATGATTCTCAACCTACTGGAACAGCCTTGATTGCACATTTCCTTCTCTCCTTGGACAACTGAGTCAAACACCACCGACACACCAGCCTCCTCCATCCCAGATGGGCAGACTGAACCATCAGCTCCAGGAAGGGAGAAGACCAGCCACAGGAATGTTCCAAGTTCTAGTTCTCTGCCTCCACTTAGGAGTCTCTTTTTCTGGTCTAGGAGTACTTCATGGATTCAATTCCAAAGCCTCCTTTCTTTATTGAGCCCATTTCACAGGTGTGGCCAGACTTTCCTACCACTCCAATTCTTTCACCCTTAAAAAGAATAAGGCCCACTGGCTGAACAACCTGTTTTAGATACAATAGCCCAAAGATGTATCCTAAAATACAGTATGTGCATGAAGATATTTCTAACAGAATCTGGAAGGAACAGCAACAATCAACACAACAGTTAACTGGAACAAGGCTTAGCCAGAAAGTTAACACTTAGATGTTATGAGACACTCAATATCTGCCATAACTGTTCAACTCTGCCACTGCCATCAAAATTGGCCAGAGATAATATACAAGTGGATAGGCATGGCTGTGTTCCAATAAAACTTTAATTAAAAAATAGGCAGAGAATACATAGACCATGGATTTGCCTATCCCTAGAGAATATTTATAGGCATGAGAAAAATACTGAACAAAAGAATTATACATGTAAAAAATGCATATGACAATAAAAACAGCACACTCACTATAATTACAAAGATTTGAAAACAAAAACAAAAACAAAAATAAAACATGAAAGTGAAAAAAGGATGGCATGCAGTATGGCCACTTCTTTTGAGCTGTGGGATCAGGGAGCAGCTTTTCTCTATTTTTTAGGACTTTCTAGTTTGTCCCAGTTCAGCTGTAATGGCTTTCAGGGCGGAGCTGGCTGCTCTGACTGATGTGGCAAGTGTCCCCATGCCCCTCCCCCTCAGGAGACACCCCCCTCCTAATGGGCCCATTCAGCTGCAAGGCCTAGAGAGAAGGGTATCACTCTTCAGCCAAGGACACGTTTGACCTGGCTGGGTAGCGTAGTTGGTTAGAGCATTGTCCTGATACACCAAGGTTGCGGGTTTGATCCCTGGTCAGGACACATACAAGAATCATCCAAAGAATGCATAAAGAAGTGGAACAACACATCAGTGTTTCCCTCTCTCCTCCCATCTCTCTCATAAAATCAATTAAAAAAAAAGAAAAAAAGAAGGAGCCCTGGCTGGTGTAGGTCAGTGGATTGAGCATGGGCCTAAAAACCAAAAGGTTGCCGGCTTGATTCCCAGTCAGGGCACATGCCTGGGTTGTGGGCCAGGTCCCCAGTGGGGGATGAATAAGAGGCAACCACACACTGATGTTTCTCTCCCTCTCTTTCTCCTTCCCTTTCCCTCTCTCTAAAAATAAACAAATAAATTTAAATAATAAATAAAAATTAAAAAAAGAAAAGAATATGTTTGAGAGACAATGGGTAGAATCTGAAAAACGAAACATATAAAAGAGGCTTCCAAATGGTCACCTCTCTAGTAACAGCTTTTGTTTACTTATTTATATTAATCTTTACCCAAGAAAACACTTATTGATTTTGAGAGAAACATCAACCAGTTGCCTCCCGTACATGCCCCAACCAGGGATTGAACCTGCAACCTAGTTATGTGCCCTGACGCACAACTGAACCCTCAACCTTTTGGTGTACAGGACGATGCTCCCACCAACTGAGCCAACTGGCCAGGGCAGTACCAGCTTTTAAGTCACAATGAGGTGATAAAAGGACATGGTCAGAGGGTGAGGTCTCAGCCTGAGGACGCAGACTTGCCACAGTCATTATTCGGAACCTCCATTGGAACTGCTGACTTAATAGATCTAGTAACTATGCAGTGAAAAAGGCAAAGGAGAACTGGAAGTACAAGTGATAAGAGACTAAGAGTTTGCATGGCCTCTTCCGGCCCCATAACTCACTCACCTCATACAGTCCCTCAAAAAAAGTGTTCTTGTCCTCGGTGCTCCATGACTCCCACTGCCGACGGACCTTTTTGCCTTCTTCCTTCTCACCGCCAGAAGATCCGAGGTTCCGGGAGGAGGAGCGAGAGGCCCCTGCAGGAGCAGCAGGGGCAACCCCAGACCCATTTCCAGATGATGATCCGCCACCATCAGCTCCTTTGAGAGAAAGTACTATATAGTTATCTGTTCCAGAAAGATGGAGAAGCTTGGGAAGGCCCCACTGCACACCCCTCGACTGCAGAGGCTGCAGTCTCCTTTTTTTCACTGTAAAAACATTTGAAAGGGTACAAGGTCAGGCAGGATGATGTCATTACTGAACAGCCCCACCGGGCGCACAGTAGCTCCCATGTGCTCTCCCATCTTTTCAAATGAGGGTTTGGTTGAAATAATTCTTATCTTTTCAAATAAACAAACTGAAATTTCAAACTTAAGAAAACATTTAAATGGGTATAAAAAACAGTGCCTTCTTTGAGATATAATAAATACTTTAGAATGTGAATCACTTGATGCCTAGGAATCTGTAAAAAGTCTTAAAACTTCTCTTTTTCAGGTGTCAGCTTGGAAGGGGCCTAGGTGTAACTTTCTTCAGTTATCCAGAATCTGGCTTCACCCAACATCAAACGTCTCCACCATGCTGCCGAAGTTCGACCCCAACAAGATCAAAGTTGTACAGCTGAGGCACACAAGTGGGGAAGTCAGTGCCAGGTCTGCCCTAGCCCCTGAGTCTGTCTCCAAAAATGGTTGTGACGATGTCATCAAAGGAATAGGTGACTAGAAGGGTCTGAGAGTTCCAGTGAAACGGACCATTCAGAAGAGACAGGCCCAGATTGAGGTAGTACCTTCTGCCTATGCCCTGACCATCAAAACCCTCAAAGAACTGCCACGAGACAGAAAGAAGCAAAAAATAAAACTAAACAAACACACATATTAACACAGCAGAAATATCGCTTTCGATGAGGCTGTCCACATTGCCTGACAGACGCAGCACAGATCTTCTTCGGCTAGAGAACATTCTGAACCACAAAAGAGATCTTGGGGACTGCCCCGTGTGGGTGGCCACCACTCTCAAGACATCACAGATGACATCGACAGTGGTGCAGTGGAATGCCTGGGTGGTTATGGTAAAACAAACAAACAAAACAAAACAAGGTCCGGCACAAATAACGCCCCTTTTTTTTATTACAAAATCTTTTATTACAAAATCATAAGTATGTAATTCTGTAATATAACAGTATCACATTCAAGCATACCATGACATTTTAGGTGAAATGTTCAAATTAAAACTATAAATTATTATACCCATATTAATACACTACCAACCACACCCAAGTGGGTGTTATTTCTGCCAGACCCTGTATTTCAATTAAAGATGATTTGACACCCCCCCCAAAAAAGTTTTCAAACTCCTTCTTTATCAATTTCCACCAGCAAAATCTGGTATTCAGAGAGTGACCCTACAACCTCGAAAATGCTTTTAAAGCATCAGTCAGTTCCTAATCTCAAGATGAGACCTTAAAAACCATGATGAAGGGGAAAACACTATCAAGTATAATACAGGGCTTCCAGGCCATGCTGTAAACCAAGGACTCTGCACTCATGGGACAATTAAGGCAATAAACAAGAGTTAAAGGTCACAGATAAAAAATGTTTATAACCTCACCAAACGCTCCCACCCGTCTAGTGCCTGCCTCTCAGAGGAAATGAGGACTCCCAGGGTATCCCTGTGATAACCAGCATTCTCTTTGCACAGAACTGCAGGGCCATCAAATGGGGAGAAAACTTCAAACTCTGAACCAGGGAAAAATAAGATCATAAAAATGAAAGTGCTTTACAAAGCAAAAGCCAAACAAATGCAGATTATTGTTAAGATGTTCTTCCAATATGATAATCAAAAGCTTTCCATTGAGACTCACTTCTTGGTTAATCTGGTTGGCCCTCCCTGGGCAGCTCTGTGCAGACCGGGGCCACAATTCCCTCACTTCCTCCATAGGGGTCTACCTCCAAAGGATAAATGAAAAAACAAGCCATTTCACAAAAAAAAAAATCAAAAATAAAAGAAATGAGGCCCTGGCCGGGTGGCTCAGATGATTAGTGTCCTGATATGCCAAGGTTGCAGGTTTGATCCCCAGTCAGGGGACATATGAGAATCAACCAATGAATGTATAAGTGGAACAACATATCGATGTTTCTCTCTCTCTAAAATCAATTTAAAAAAAGAAAGAAAAAAATTAAAACCTGTCAATCCATGTAAGCTTTCAAAGACTATTATTCCTGGAAAAAATACAAGACACTGGTGCCAAGGCTGCCTGGGGAACAGTGGGAAACAGTCACTTTCCACTGTTACACTTTTCAAAGCGTGTACCATGAGTCTGTTATTATGTCAAAATAGGGAGCATTTGAAAACAGTTCATCCCATCAGATTTCAGAAAGCAGTATGTGTTTTTTTATACATGCTGAATTATTCAACCATATGGAATGCTTTGATTCTTTTGTGCAAAAAGTGTATCAGTTTCATGATGGGCTGACTTCCTAAAGCAGTGATTTTCAACCTTTGTCATCTGAGGGCACACATAAACTAATTTCTAAAATTCTGCGGCACGCAAAAAAAATATTCTTTTGCCAACTTGATAAAAAAAATAGGTTCAATTTTGGTCCTTTCACAAAGGACAACTATTGTTGAGTTGGCTGTTGTCATTTTTTAATTTGACAATCTAAGGGAAAAGAAGTCAGTGCCCCTGACTAAATAGTCGGGTATTGCACGTTTTAAAAATTCTTGCAGTGCACTGGTTGAAAAAATTACTGCCCTAAAGTAACGTGAGTAGATACCAGAAATCGCTGGTTTATCAGAGTCATACAGTCCAATTTGACAACCACTAACCACGTGAGACTATTTACTTACTTACTTATTTATCCTCACCTGAGGACATGCTCACTGATCTTAAAAAAGGGAAGGAGCAAGAGAGGGAGAAAAACATCGGTCAGCTGCCTTTCCTCACAGCCCTACTGTGGATGAACTCTCAACCCAGGTATGTTCCCTGACAGGGAATCAAACTTGTGACCTTTCATTTCACAAGATAACACTCCAACCAACTGACCCACACCAGCCAGGGCCACATGAGGACATTTAAATTTAAAGATTAATTAAAATTAAATAAAACAAAATCTCAATTCCTTAGTCATACTGGCCACATGTCTAGTCATTGACGTCCACGTGTGGCTAGTGGCTGCTGTGCTGGACAGCACAGAACATTTCTTTCATTGCAAAAAGTGTCACAGCCAGAGCTATATTTGAATGTTTGGCATTCACTGCCCCAGCCACAGTTAAAGAAAAGAAGATAATCAAGCTAAAACATTCTACATCCCAGCCTTCTTTCCAGCTGTCCCTTCCCATCCCACATGTACTTGTAATATGAACTTAATCCATGGAATCTCCATGCTACAGAGTGGGCTAAGTAAGGACTAGACACATAATCTCACGTCGTCCATTCCTCGCCAAACCAAACCTGAAACATGACCTAATTAATGACCCTGGCACTTCACATGATGTTTTCAACAGGTATGGCAACTTTAGAACACATTTCCAGGGAAAAATTGGTTTCATTCCACTTCTAGTAGGTCTGAGATGTATTTAAAATACCACTCTTAAATACAAGAAGTTCTGGTTGACTTGAAGCCCACAATCCCTCACATTTAATCACTTCAGGAAGGGATGCCTGTCCACCTCTGCACCACCTACAACAAAGAATTTCAGAGTCATTTTTCACTTTTAATGAAATACTCACTGAACTCTTTCTCTAAAAGATTTTATTTATTTATCTTTAGAGAAAGAGGAATGGAAGGAGAAAGAGAGGGAGAGAAACACCCACTGGTTGCCTCTTGCATGCACTCAACGGGGTACCTGGTCCAAAACCCAGGCATGTGCCCTGACTGAGAATCAAACCGGCAACCTTTAGGCTTGAGGGACAATGCTCAATCCACTGAACTACATCGGGCAGGGCAAAACACTCATTAAAACTCTTTCTGAAATATCAGCAATTCATTAACCAGTCCTATGGACATAGCTTTGGTTTACCTTTGCCTGCTCATGCTGCCATTACATGTACTTGCAAGTAAGGGACAGGCATTTTTGAAAATTCTAAAGCTATTTTGCTAGCTTTTGTGAGATTTCATCAGGTCACAGTACTGGTGACCCAAGAAAAGGAATGAATGGTGAAGGAAAACAAAATGGAAGCATTTCAGAGCTGGAAAGGACCTCAGGGGTAGAAAGCAGGATAAACCAAAACCGTGGATGTAACAGAAGGTACAGCAGTCAAAGCAGCTCTGCTGAGATGCACGAGGCAGCAAACCTCAGAGCAGCACCAGGCTCAGAGCAGCCCGCCACTCTCACAAGCCAGAGGTCGTACGCAGATGTTCAGCCCTTCCTTCTGATGGTGCCAAATGATACATCCTCAGTAAAAGAAAATAAAGCAATGTGAACATTCAAAAAAGAAAGCAAATCACCCTCAAGTGACTCTTTCAAACATTCAGTACCCATCATTCGAGACCTTGTAATGCCTTGTAAAAGTAAAGTAAAATCGCAAAGCTTCCAGACAGAAAGAGAACTATGGCATCTGGTTCATTCCCAACACTTCAGAGGAGAAAGAGGCTTCATCACTTGACCTCAGGCTCAGTCCGGGACTCCAGCTCAAGCATTAAAATCAGGAAGTAGGATCAGAGATGCTGGAAGAACATGATGGTGCCCACCCAGGAGAGGATTCCATCGGGACAGAAAAATTCAGATGAAAATGGTAATGACTGAAGGTAGGAGAGGGAAGCAAGAGAGAAGAACAGAGGTAGACAGGTAAGAAGTGGAGAGAAGACAATTTGAACAAGATAGGGTAGGTGTGAGGGCTTTCCCCAGCGATGGGAGTGAGTGTGAGAAACCCAGCAAAAGGTAAAGGGGCTGAAGTTAACCCTCCATCTGCAGTAACATGTCTGAGGCAACAAAGAGGGTTAGCAAGAGTCCACATGAGAAGTGAGTATCCAAGAAGCCTGAAGGGAAGTGCGATGCAAGAATAGGATGCCCCACAGTGAGCTCTTTGAAAGTAAGAACAGTGTCTTACTTTCCCGTGCCCAAGGTTGGCACCAGGCCTCACACAGAGCAGATGCTCAATGAG